CTTTAAAAAAAAAACAAACAAGTAAAAACTGCAATAAGTTGGTATATACAACATTCTCACATATAAATCAAGATCATTCATAAGTAAAACAAGAAGAAGTATAATTTACAAAAACCACAACAAAGATAAACATCAAGTAAAAAAGGTAGTAAAATTCCTATGGGAAGAAAACTCCCAAACAGCAGTAAATTACCAAATTTTGGTAAATGAAAGACATGTCATATTCTWGACAAGAAAACTCAATTATCAGGATATTACTACTTCCTAAGTTAATCTATAAATGTATCTTACTAATCTTGATATTAAAAATGGGGAAACTACATTTTGGAGGCAGTTATGAAACATAAAAGAATTGTTTAAAAACAATTTTAGATGTCTATGTAATTGTATTATAATTTTGTTTTAAAAAGAATTCTTGGACTAGAGACATGCAAGAGCCTGATTTCTATTCCTAGTGCCACCAAAAGAAAAAAAAAGACTTATCTTTGTTTTGATTTATATATTTAAATATTTTCAGATGAAATTATATATCTGGGATCTTTTTCAAAGAAAAATAAATGGATAAGAAGATGRATGATAAAGATTGGCCATGAAATTATCCCAAAGCTTTATGTTGCCTCTCCATGGGGGCTCATTAAGCTATTCTGTCTAAATTTTTATGTTTTGATTTTTCAGTTTCAAAAGGAGTTGGAAGATAAAACACATATTTGTATTTTTAAAACCTCAAAGGAGTGTGTTTTAAACTAACTTGATTCTGAACTTCAGATGGAAATAATAAGCCTAGTATAAAGCTAGGAAACCTCTAAAAAATAAAAAAAGAGAAACAGCTCTGTGACATAGGTATGATAATTAAAAACCATGTGGTGCTAGCACATTGATAGATTAATGGAACAAAGTSTAAAAAAATTACATCTGGGAATTTGGTATATGATAAAAATGGCATCTCAAAAGGGTATGGTGTTTTAGCTCATTTCTCTTGCTAATAATAGCATGGACTGGATAAGTTACAAATAAAAGAAGTTTATCTTGGCTGGCAGTTCTGATCTTCCTGATTGAGAAGATGCATTTATTTGTTAATAGCCTTCTTGCTGGCAGAGGGCAAGACACTGGCTGTCTCATGGTGAAACACAGAGAGCTATAGAGACCTAGCCAAACCGGCTTTTATAGCAAATCTACTCTTAATCCATGGTTCATCACASAGATGGGTTACTCAATCCATGAGGGAGGAGTTCTAATCACCTTTTAAAAGCTCCATTTCTTACAGCTCTTAGTAGGAGTAGGGATTAAATTTCAACATGAGTTTGAGAAGGATATTCAAATCATAGCTTATGGTAAAAAGGAAATACAAATGAGTTAGGAAARTTATCTGTTCATTAAGAAAATAAATTTGCATCGTTACTTCTTACTTCACAACATGAAAAATTCCAAATTCAACATGGTAAAAGATTCACAAGTGAATGAAACTAACAAATTTTAAGATAATTCCTATATAGTACTGGATAGAAGAAGGCCTTTCTAAGTACGATTCAAAATTTAGAAGCCACAAAGAATAAAACTAAAGTCTATTACATAAAAAAATCAAGAACTTCTGCATGACAAAAAGAAAAAAATAACAAGTTAAAGAAAGTGTTTAAGTAGTAATATTACAAAACTAAATCTTTCTAGTAAAACTTCAAAAAAGTAACATCATTAACCCTTTAGAAAAATGGCCAAAGAGTATGAACACTATTCAAATTTATTCATTGAAGAAAAATGACAAAAATTAAATTGCAGTATARTTTTATACCAATGAAATCAGAAAACTCCAGAAATCTGGTAATTTATTCTGAGATGCAAGAGAAGTAAGATCTCTAACACATTGTTGGCACAGATGCAAATAAGTACAACTTTATGGAGAGAACTTGGCAATATCTTTCAAAATTAAATATGCATACACCCTTTGACTCAAAAAATTATCACATATAACAAACATAAAAAGTTATTCATCAGCAATGCTTCCCAGGAGAAAAGGGAGTAAGAGATGGGGATGGGGTAGGTGGACCCCAAATAGATAGGACCAAAGTATTTCATTGTATATTTATAGTAGTTTTAAACTATGTGAATATATTACCTATTTAGACATTAAACAAGTTTTATTAGACCTCTCTCTCTCTCTCTCTCTCTCTCTCTCTCTCTCTCTCTGTCTCATAGTGGTCAAGAGAGGAAAGTTACATAAAGAGTGAGTGATGGAAAAAGAAATGGACATAGGAAGGCAGGGGCCTTAGCCAGGAAAGTGAGCAAGATCCTGCAGGAGAAAAGATTTGTGAAAGTGTTCTCAGGCTGTGCTCAGTGTCAACCCAGGGGGGTATATGAGGGAAATTCACTGTACATTTTGAAACAACAAAGAGCTAGAAAGATGGGAAATGGAGAAAACAGACACTGAGGTGCTGTCTGTGCATATTCTGGGAGCTTCAAGATGTGGCTATGATGCAATGATATGAAAACAGAAAAATCCCATATACCTTTCATGAAGCATAATCATAGTAACCCTCCCTTTTTATTATAGAAAAGCAGTGCTTCAGCTCAAAATTCCAGTCCTCAGTTCCACCTGAAACCCTCCCTTGAGCACAGGGTCTTAGTCACCTAACTATATTTTAGTTCCTGCTGAATGAATTGAAAGCATTAGTGAACACTTCCTTATACCCGCCCTCTCCTTGGACCACTGTCCTTGTAAACAAGGTGGGTTAGCCAGCTGAATGATGAGAGGCCATAGTGAATGAGATGCCAAGGAAACACCCAGCACCAGTTTTCAGACAGGTAAAGTGAATCTCCCAGATTAGCTGATCCTCACCTGAATGCAGCCTCCCGAAGAARCCCAGGGGAAGCAGTGGAGGGACCACTCAGCCCAAAACATAAGTCCTTGTTGAAGTCATGTGCTTTGGGGTAGTGTCTTATACATTAATAGGTAACGGATAAACTCCTCATTTTCCCACTGCTACAGTTTCCTAGAATCTTATTCCCAGTCCCTAAAAGAAGATTACAAATTGGCTGAGTTCCATCTCTACTTTTTTATTTTTATAGGTAAGGACCAGACCATACATAATAATAGAACTCTGTCACACAATCTGTGGCAAAGAGCTCAGGAAACCAATCCATTTTCTACAGTAACCTGTCCTGGACTTCAGTCTTCTTTCTTACAAATTAGACTTGTGGGAAGTCAGAACACTGAGCCAAGAAGCCAAACAACAGCTTCTATAATAATTGGTCCCAAATGGCCAGCACTTGATTAGTAACTGACAGCTTCCTTAATATTTGGTCTCATTTCCAACTTAGGATCAATTAGGGATGCTTAAATATGCTCCCTTAGCCAAATCACATGAAAGGACCCTACTCTAGCCTTTATCAGGGCATGCCTGGAACCCTCTCTTYCCAAAGTGAGCTGAATCACTCCTCTGCCTGCCTGTGAATCTCAGCCCTGTGTCACAAGGATGGCCAACTGCAAATAAACAGGTTTTTCCTTATTCTCATTTGGGTGGTCTCTCTGTTTAATTCTGTGCTATCAATCGTCTTCCTGAAGGTCAAATGTAAATAAACCTGGTTCAATGAGCAGAAACTTGTGGGTCTCTGTCCATTTACAACCTGCTGATTCAAATTCTCATAAAGGGGRGCATTTATGTTTCTGCTGATGTTATCAGCATACTGTACTATAAAATAATCTAGAAATCACCAATTAAAAATATTTAAATGAGTGGAAAATAGACCAGTAGGGTAGAAGAAGGACGATGGGGGAGAGAAGAGGAGGGGGTGAGGGAGGGCACCGGGGACTGAAATGGAATAAATTAAATTCCATGCATGTACAATTACCTTGCTGATRGACAATATACTTTTTAAAAATTCAGCATCCATTCTTTTTTTAAGTTATTTTTATACCTTATTTATTTTTATGTGGTGCTGAGGTTTGAACCCAGTGCCTCACACATGCTAGGCAAGCACTCTACCACTGAACTATAGCCTCAGCCTATGATGGACATATTTTTAAAATTTTTTTAATGAAACATACTCAACAAATGCTGGGCTTTCTCCTTCTGCATATGGGTTAGTCCCCCTCCTCAGATGCTCCTCCTTCCCGACTATGGCTGGTACTTCGTATGTACTCCACAGACATAAATTTAAAAATAGACTGAATTTCAGAAGTATTTTTTCTTTGAGTGTCAAAGATGAGCCGAGTCTGTGAAGAGTTGCTTAAGCAAAACTGCATCCTTTAAGTGAGGGCAGCTTTTATAAAATGATCATTAGGGCCATCTCTGGAGTTCCCTCCCTTTACATTTTTCTCATGTTAAAAAAAATAAATATCTCCTTTAGGTTTGATGTAGAACCTCTGAGCAATGCCAGTTTCTTTCCCTGGGGGCAGGGGGGTAATTTTTCCTACAATACCTACTAACAACAGGGCTGCAAATAGTCACTCCTTCCTCAGGGACTAGTGAAGATGAGCAAGCATCTGAAGGACAGCAGCCAAACACAGCTTTGGCTTACAGCTGTAAAAACACACTGCTTATCCAGTTGGAGTTTACTTTTTCTGCAGCTCTAAAGAAGTAACTTTCCTTACTTCCAATCATACATCTAGACACTTTACATCCACCTACAGGTTAGGCAAGTGGTACATCCCCCACCAGWTATATTTTTTTAAGTCCTTTGCAATAGGAGCATAGAATATTGTATTTGGGTTCCTAAGACAGGAATAAGATAAACAAATATAACTAACAACATCAACACTATTCTCCAGATTCATGCATGATGAATTGCTAAACCCTGAGGTTAGAACTTTTTTTTTTTTTTTTTTTTTAAACCAGAAAGCTGGTTCCTAGCTAGACCAAAAACAACATGAACATAATATTGTTTTAAAAAACAGGCACATGGGGATTAGAGAGCTCTCTCGAGACTCATTTCTGGACTCAAAACCATTTGGAAAGAAAATAGGAAAGCAGTGTCCATGTTGAATTAATTTGTTAAACTTATTTAGTTAAGAAAACTGCAAGAGCACACAGAAGATGCCCCCCCCTTTTTTTTTCCTAAGGGGGGAAAAATATATTATAGCCCAATTTTAAACTCATTGAGTAAAAAATCCTATATTATTTGGGTTTTGGCAATAAAGAATGCATAATCAGACACCTTTTAGGAAGTTTAAAAAATGTCTTATTTTTATGGCATAATAATAAGCCGTTTTACATAAAGTTCAGATGCAATGAAACATTACTTACAAAGCTGACTTAATCATATCTGTGCTCTACTTAGCAATCACATTATTTCATAAGGGATAGTTTTTATTTCAAATTAATTTGTAAGTTAACTTTTAAAAGCACATTTTGTTGGGTGCTTGAAGTCCTTTACAAATAGAAATTTAGGACATTTAGTGACTCGGGAGTTTCCTATCCCCAGATGTGGGGAAATGCTTCTAAGAATTCACATTTTGAAAAAACTTTRACATCTAGCTCAAGTTTTGTGTTAAAATACTTGAATAAAAGCAAACTTTAAGAATTAAATAAAGTATATTTTAGATACAATTTTTTAAGGCAGCTTTAAATCCTTTCCAACTGATAGTACTGCTATCTCTGCAGACTGGTATCTTAAGGTTTTGAAAATTGTTTTAAATATTTATAATTTCAAACATAATACTGAATAGTTGTTAAAGACAGGATGGTTAAAGAACAATGATGTTAAATGATAATTCTGCATCTTTTTCTCAATAGGAACTTCACCAAATTCGAAAAAAAGTTATTTTAAGTAATTAGAATTTTTTTAAGAGGAATTTTAAAGGGGTAACGGAAAAATTGCATCCAATAAAGTTTGGTAGATAATCAAACTTTATTGATTATCTATGTAAAGATTTTCTTTTCTTTTTATGCTGGGGATGAAACATGCCAGGCCTCCTACAGGCTAGGCAAGTGGTACATCCCCGACCCAAGATATTTTTTTTAAAGTCCTTTGCAAATAGGAGCATAGAATACTCTATGCAGTTCAGCACCGCAAAAAAGACAAAATGCAGACCTTTTTTTGTAGGTGGAGTGGGGATGGGGATGGAGGTCAGGAGACTAGGAACCCTGTTTCGCCCGGAGCATGACTCGGCAAAAATCGCGGAACGGCTCTCCGGCGGAACCTCTGTGAACGCCGCCGCGTTTCCGAGAAGGGAGGCTCTGGGAGGGACACGTATCCGTCGCCCGTCAGACGCCCCCGCCAGGGCTTGGTGCGGCAATGAAGTTTCGTGCCAAAATCGTGGACGCTGCCTGCCTGAATCAGTTCACGCGTGAGCTGGGAGGGCTGCGGGGAGTCGGGGAGAACCGGAAGTAGGCCGACTTGGCGAGCAGCAGCCTTGCGGGACGTTGGGGGTGGGGCTCGGAGTGCTGGACGTTGGCCGTGGATTGCAGGCGGGTACTGTGGGAAGAAGGACAGTTACAGGACCTATTTCTGATCACATGGTCCTTCTTTTGTACTACTGCTCCCATCGACGTCTGGCATAGACATCCCTTTGCGTTAGGCCCCATTCCTCCTTCCACCCGACTGTGGCCAACATTGCTTTGAACGGTGTGCTGCAGCACCCGGCGGTCCATAAGTTTGTGTTGAATGTATGAATGGCCCTTACGTGCCAATTAGCCTCCGAACCTCAGTTTCCGTATTGAACATGAGTGGTGTGTGCTGCAAGCCTTGCCGGGTTATTGTAAGACTGGCATGACATGCGTGGTACTGAAATATTTTCCATCGTGATCCCAACATACACTGTTTTTCCACCTGCAATTTGCACTTCGATGAACTAGAAGTTCCGCAAGGCAAGGTGACTTCTAGGAAACATGATGTGTGTCTTAGTTACACCTTAGTTTACTCCCTGTTACAGGAGTCAGTAACATGATAGCCAAGCTTGCGAAAACCTGCACCCTCCGAATCAGCCCCAATAAGCTGAACTTCATCCTTTCTGATAAACTGGCCAGTGGAGGGGTGAGCATGTGGTGTGAGCTGGAGCAGGTAAGCAGAAGTTCCCAAAAGGCCCCAGACTTCACCTAATGCCATTGGAAAACCCACAAATACCCATTTTCTTTCCTTAGGAGAACTTTTTCAGCGAATTTCAAATGGAGGGTGTTTCGGCAGAAAACAATGAGATTTATTTAGAGCTAACATCGGAAAACTTATCTCGAGCTTTGAAAACTACCCAGAATGCCAGATCCTTGAAAATCAAGCTGACTAATAAACACTTTCCCTGCCTCACAATCTCTGTAGAGCTGGTGAGTAGGAAGAACAGGGTTTCACAAGCTTTCCACAAAGGTCTTGGCCCCTAAAGGATACAAGTAGTTAAAAACCCAGGCTTTTCTTTTTCTTTTTCTTTTTTTTTTAATTGGTTGTTCAAACATTACAAAGCTCTTGACATATCATATTTCATACATTTGATTCAAGTGGGTTATAAATAGTATGGTTGAAAGATAATTGGTTTGTTTTATAAAGATCTGTTGCATTCCTATTTTTTCTCTCACTTACACTCAGTTCTTCTTTGTTATGTTAATGTTCTGATCACACAGTATTCAACTAGGATGCTGCCTTTTCCAAACAGTGAAACTTCCACATCTCTTGTTTCTTTTAGTGGTATCATTAGCTACTCTAGAAATCATGATTTTTATTCATTTTCACCTTTGGTGTGCTCTCCTCCCCCATCACCACCTTTGTTGTAGTACCTTTCAGTAACAGTCATTCTTTAGTAAACATACTGTCTCACATACTGCCAGATGGGTTTAGTGCATAGTTATCAGAACACACACATGATGAAGTTTGGTTTCTTAACATGATATTCAAAGCTTTTGACATAGCCCAAGCCATCTTGGAACTATATTCCAAATTACCACCCTCTGGTTCTCTGGATGTGTCCAGTTCATTCCCAACTCACAGAACAGTGACATTAGCCCTTCTACTTGGAGTCTTTCTCCTCTCTTAAACTTTCTCTTTCTTTGGCACACAGCATCAGTACTGCCTCCTCCACAGTCTCCCTTGTCCTTACAGTTCTCTCCTTGTTTTGTTTGTGCTTGGTAATCTATATGAGTATTATTTACAATTTCAAATGTTCTATGGAAGAAGATTTTTTTTTTTTTAATAACTGTTTCTCAGCTCTTTGCAGTTAGGCAGATCTTAGAGCTCATCAGTATATTCCATGTCACAATATTAMATATGGAGTTTTCTTCCACTTCTTAAGGGAAAGCGGGATAATAAAATATAATAGTTTTTCTATTTCAAAATGCAAGATACTTTTATCTGAGTCTCACAAAAGCCCCTAGAAATAAACATAGTTTATTCTTTTAGCAGTGTAGAAACTGCAGCACTCTGAACATCCTGTGCTCAAAGAATGGTCTCTGGGTTGCTTCAACATAGTAAGCTTGCTTGTTTCTGTCTCAGAACTAGGTATTTTGTTCTGTGCCTGAAACCATGTCTCCTCATTCCCATCTTCCCATAGTCATCTTCCTCTAGTTTTTGTATCACCTCCTAAGAGAGGCCTACGTGGGCCCCCCAGTCTAGGAACCTCCTTCATGCTTAGCCTGGTCATTGCTCTGTTTTCTTGAAGGCTTTAATGAGTATCTCTTATGATATTTTTTTTTTCTTATTGATCCATTCATTCCACTGGAGCATCAGGGAACCTGTTGTTTGTTCACCACATTTGCCAGCTACTCCTAGAACCCAGAGCAGAACTGATAATGCCAGTATAGGTTGAATGGATTTTAAGTGAATGAATTGAGAACATTCCACTTAGATTTGATATTTTCAGTTTTCTTATGCTTAATCCTTTGCTTTTGATTTTGTTTTTAATATTGACAACATAAAATATATTTTGAATTCTTTTCTTGGCAGTTATCTGTGTCAAGCAGTAGTCGCATTGTGACCCATGACATCCCCATAACGATTATTCCTAGAAGATTGTGGAAGGACTTACAAGAACCCTCAGTCCCAGATTCTGATGTGAGTGAGGCCTGCAGTCTTGTTGCTCATTGCATATTAAAGGGTGTGTGTGTGTGTGTGTGTGTGTGTGTGTGTGTGTGTAAGTGAATGAATTCTTTTAATTTTAATTGTCTTGCAGTACATTTTATTTGAAGGTTGTGTAGTACCTGAAATGAAAGTGGTATTATTTATTTTTAAAGGAAAAAAAATTAGAATGTTTTCTTTGATTTATTTAAGCCATCTTAAATCACTGTTGCATATAATAGAAATGCCATCCTCTCTACATATAAGAGGTAGAATATCTTGCTCAGATAATTTATATTTATTAGAATTCTTGGTCTTAGGCACCAAGTTGAGTTTTACRGGACTTGAGGGCCAAATATGTGTTAAAAAGCCACAAGGATAGACATTTGCATGACCTGGAACTTGATAGGAACCCTGGAGCTACTGAAAATAATGATGAAGCCAAAGAGTCCTTTGCTTTTTGCTCACAATTACAAACATATACTGGAAATTATAATTATACTGGATAGAACATGTACTTGTTTTTTCACTAGGAAACAACTACACAAACTAGGAAAAAGCCAACCTGTTGTAAAGCACTGCTAATGACAGCCCCAGGTGAGAAGCAGTGGCTGCTGCACTGTATTTTTGTGCAGAGTGCACAAAAGGCCCCTGAGACCTGGCTGTGTACATCCCTCAGGGCAAGTCTTCTGCTCAGTGCTTGAATTTTATTCCCTTGGGCTCATATACAGGCATCTCAGTTGCGGCACTCTGGTCCTCAAACCAAAGGAATGCCCATAGGGATATAGTCGCTGAGGTAACCAGAGGCAGGCATTCATTTCTTTAATTTTACTCAAATGCCTGTGAGTTAATGAAATTATACAGTTGTTTTCCTTTTGGTATTTAAAAAAGAACTCTATTCAGAAAATTAAAAACCAGGAATTCGGAGTTCTTAAGCATGTGTGCAATCCCAAATTAGTTATTGAGTAACTTTTTGTAACTAGAATGTATTAATTTTTTTTATACTTGTGATTGCTGTTATTGGTTTTGTAGGTGAGTATTTATTTGCCAGTCTTGAAGACTATGAGGAGTGTTGTAGAAAAAATGAAAAACATCAGCAATCATCTTGTAAGTAATAACTTTTTTTTTTCCTATAATGTTAGCCTTCTTTTGGGAGGACAGCCTACCATGGACCTGGGTATGGTGCTCCTGTGCCACTATGAGACTTCTGAGGCATCTCACTAAAATCCTTGTGAGGCCTCGCCTGGTGCTAAGAACAAGCAGTTTTACAGTTGCCTTTAGAAACCTCTTCTAGTGTGTTTCAACTATCATTCACTGGGGAAGGCTTTCTTTTTATTCTTAATCCCTCATGTCTATGGGTATAGTTTATTATGAATATGTTTAACAGTTCTTCTTTTTCTTTATTTTAGACAGCAACTTCCATCTTTTATCTGCTAATGTGTATATGTTTTTAAAAATGAATCATGGATTCCATTGACAGTATAAAATGTTCTATCTGCTTGCCAAATGTCTTTCAGTAAACCATAAAGATCCCTCACACCTCAGCAGTTTTTTAATTCCAAAAGATCTCACACCAAACCAATGGATGCTTGTATTTTTCTATTTATTCTGTGAAGGTCTCCTTCTGCCATGCTCAAAATACTACAATATGTGGCAGTGATGAAGAATTGTGTGGATAGTCCTCCTACACAGCAGGGCTTATCCTGAATTTTACTTTCACATCCCCACCCCCAAAAAAGGAAAAAAAAAAAAAAAACAACAACACATTTATATCCTTCTATCTTTAAAAGCCACATTTCACTTTATAAACTTAAACCTCTGATCTTCCCAGTCTCATGGAGATGTGGCTGGGCCATATCTCTATCTCTATGGGACCAGGCTACACTGGGTTCTGTGGGTTCTGTGGGCTATAGGTCCACACTGGGCTCTACCACATCTAACAGTTCCTCTCTTCTTTTTGGATTTTGTTTCTTAGCCATTTCACACTCAGTTTCTTATGTCTGTCATTTCCTGGGAAGCGCTTAAACATTCTCACTGTTCACCCMAGACCCTTTCCCACTGTCTGGCATAAAGCCCCTCCTCCACTGAACTCCTTTCTTCAGTGTAGACCATAAACCTGCCAGTATCAGAACTTCAACTGCCATCTTCTAGAAAGGAGAGAACCTGTCTTATTCTGTGTTCCAGGATCCAGGGTACAATTGTCACTTGGTGTGCAGTAATTAATGTTGCTGCATGGATCTGGTGTGAAATTTAGCTTGGAGTTTTAAAAAAAGAAAAGTTTCTTTTGAAGCCTAGAAAATGTTCATGGGCCGTTTTATCTCTTTGAGTTCTGCTCACTTAAAAACAGTGCTGACATTAGGCTTATCCAGCTGAAAGCTTTCTCATGTAATTTAATCTTCACAGAACCCATTTGAGGCTAAAATCTGTTTCCCATGAAGCAATGCATTGTGCTTACAATGGTGTCCACCATGGTGCTGATCCAGATGTCAGGCTGGGTTTCTCTAGGATCTCCTGGGATTTCCAGAGAATTTCAGAGAGACCCAGGGGAGAAGATGTGGCAATTATCGGAAGGGCATATTTGTTCTTTCTGTTCCATGGAAATGAGTCAGCAAAATAGAGAGGTGGAAAGTGGCTTAGATAAAACCAGAGATGTTAGTTTTCCTTTTCAGGAGTGTTTAAAAATGTCTACAAGTTTTTTTGGAGTGACTATTATAATGTGAAATTGCTAAATGGAAGCTTACCAAGTTAGATTAGCTGAGTGCTTAATGAGATTAACCTGGATAACCAGAAGTCTGTGTCTGAAAATAATAGGTAGTAGAATTAAGGAAAATGAATGAGACTCAACACACTAAAATTGTCTACCTTCCCCTAAGAGATGCTTGATCCCTACCTTCCTTCATTTAAGGCAAGAAGGCTGATAGGATTGGGTTGTATATGTGAATCACGTAGAAAAAGGAGCAAATACCACCAGGAGTCCATGCCATCTTCTGACACATTGCTTCTAAGCCACCTGTGCACAAGAATCCCTGAGATCTGGTTAGAATCTGGTTTGAATTTGGGAGGAATGGGCTTGGGCAAGGCTCTGCACTTCTGACCAGCTCACGGTGCTGATGCTGCCTGTCTTTGAATCACTCCCAGCAGCAATATTTAGTGATGCATGCCATGCTATAGGTCATTTGAGAGAAAGGGCCTTCACAAGATCAACTTAATGATTAAAATACCTTTGTAGAAATCTAATAACAAATGATACCCTATCTAATATGCCCCACATTAGCAATAAAACAAAGTAGTACCTGCAAAAAAAAAAAAAAGGGTAGGAAGCACAGTGATATGTGGTGGAGGAGGGGTGGCATTGTGAACCTTAGTGCAGAGTATTATTACCCTAAATTGGACAATAGTAGAGCTATAATGGGTTTTGTCACTTATTGTCGCGACCCCTCGCCAGCAAGGGAAACACGACACAGGATTCTTCTTTCGGCAGTTAACTCAGGACCTTTGAATCATGATGAGAAAACAGGAACAAGAGAGCGAGCGGTGGGTCTGCCCTAGCTTAAGTACCCAGCCTCGCCAATGAACTAGCACCACGTGGAGGAGTCTAGTAGGTACAGCGCAGCGGAAGCAGGCCAGAGCCCAGCCCACAGCCTTACAAGGAGTTGTTTACTTCTAACAACTCTAACCGCTAAGTCATCAGAAGCAGGAAGCCAGCGCCATTTTCAGGGTGCGGTCGCTGGCTCCCAACAATTTATTATAAATTGAGAGATAATAATTTGTAGTAGGTGTCCAGGATAGTTCATTGGCGTTCAATGAATGGAAGGTAACAATTATTAAGGAAATCATTGAAAGAAGTAAGATCCTGTCCTCATAATTAAGAAATTGTTTATGTTGATGCACATAGTAGTTCAAATAACTGAATCATAAAAATCAGTGATTGATGTTCAGAGAATTGGCTGTTAATTCCTTCAGAGTGTTAATTGAATGCTTCCATGTGCCAGACTGGGTGGTATCAGAAACAAATTTGAATCTAATGTTCCATTACACATATTTTAGGAATTGGAAAAAAGCATAAGAGCCTGAATGTAATTTAGAACCAATGCAAGTTGCTTTTTTGACCAAGAATTTGTTTCTAAAACCACTCTCCTTCAAAAGCAATGGGAATTTACAGATCTCCAGTATGTGGTTGTTTGAAACAAATAGGTATATGTCATGTGCTAGCTCTAAAGAGCCCCACTGAGTGATCCAGAACATTCACAAGGATGGTTTTATTTATTTTATTTTAATAAAATATTGTTCCAGATTAGAGGACAGTAGGTTAATAAATATACCAGTATATTTCTGTGCTAATGAAAGACTTACGATGAATGTTTTTTATTCAAAAGTAAATTTACAAGATTATACAAAAAGTGAGTTTAAGGGGGATTATTCTGATGTCAAAAGCTCAGAAATAAGAGTTCACTCAAGTTCATAAAAACTTTTTGTTTCTGGAATCTGAATGATTTAGATTTTGGCAGTTTTAAGGCATGAGAATGAGAAACACTAAGTGATATTCCCTAAACATGGGTGCTCTAGCAGAGTTGTGCAGAAGGGTACTCTTCCGCCCCTCCAAAGATCTCTCTGCCCCTCTCCCAATAGCACTTTCAAGGATGTGTGGGGCCTACTAAATCAAAGGCCTGTACTCACCTGTACTCTAAACTCTAGTTTAGCTGGCACATTTCACTACTGGTTGGCAGAGTGCTGACAGCAAACTCTATACAGGCTTTAACAATAGGCAGATGCCAACATCCAAAATAGAAATACAGTGTCCCTGTGGTCATGGTGGTGCATACCTGTAATCCCAGTGCCTCGGGAGACTGAGGCAGGAATTTGAGGCCAGCCTCAGCAATTTAGCAACTTAGTGAGAACCCTATCTCAAAAGGGGCTCAGGATGTAGCTTCCCTGGGTTCAATCTCCAGTACCAAAAAAAGAAAACGAAAGACAGTGTCCTATGAGCAGGTTAGCAAGACTCAACGCACATTGTGCTTGTATTTCACTTCAGTTACAATAACCAGTAAGTTGGTGGAGTGAAGGGAAGAACTTGAAAGGAAAGGAACCCCCTGTAACCTTTGTGGCCAGTCCCAGGATGGGAAGAGCAGGAGTGAGCTGGGTGTGCCTATAATCCCAGAGGCTCAGGAGGCTGGACAGGAGAATCGCAAATTCAAAGCCAGCCTCAGCAACCTAACGAGCTCCTGAGCAACTTGATGGGATTCTGTCTAAAAATAAAATATAAAAAGGGCTGGGGATGTAGCTCCATGTTTAAGCACCCGTGGGTTCAATCCTTGGTACCAAAGCAGGGGAAAAAGAGCAGAAGTTGCAGAGAGGCCTGTGATAGAGGAGAAGGGAGGGACAAAGGTCTTAGTCCTCTCCCCAAGCTGTGCTATGGGTGCAGAGACTAGCCACCAGCAACATTGTGTCTTGCTCAGTACTCRTTACATGACAGCAGCCCCCTACCTTTTTGAATCTGGAAATCTCATTTGCCAATATCTAAAGAATTTTCAGGATAAATTATTCTCATAAAACTCTGAATGTCTCTATGGTCATACTAAATTTGTAATTATGCCAGATAGTTTGGTCCATTTATAGAAATAAGGCACTAATTTCTATGTTCCCTTCCCAATCTCCCTGCTCCTGCTTTTTAGTAATTGTGTTTAAGTCTACATTGTCATAGAGTACAATTATTGTACCTTATTATCTTCCCTTATTATTAATTTTGGCTTTACAGATAAAAGCAGCCATATCTGTCTTTGTGTTGTAACTGCAATAATTTTTTGTTATCTGAAGCTTATTCTCTAGCATCTCATTCTGGAAGGACTTGAAGGCCRAAGAATTTCATTAGCTGGCCCATGTTCATGATGTCATTTTGTTCATGATGTTCATTTGTCACTTCTTGGCTCACTGTACTTTATTGTCTTTGTTATATAATGCTGCTGTCAGAGAGACTGATGTCATTCTGATTTTGTTTCATTTTTTAATAAGTTGGATTATTAATCTGAGGTGAGGGGACATGAATACCCGAGTTTGTTTTGTTTTTGATGTGTGTGTTGCTTTTATTTTCTTTGAATCCCATTGTCTTGACACCTGGTCCACTTCATCAGGTGTAGGGAGTGTACCTTCTGTGTGTTAGCCAGCCTTTCTTCACATCAGGAACGTTTTGAACTATGACTGTTAGCCCCCCCCCTTTTTTTTTTGGATTGAACCTAGGGGTGCTTAACCACTGAGCCACATCCCAGCCCTTTTTATATTTTATTTAGAGTCAGGGTCTCGGTGAATTGTATAGCGCCTCACTAAATTGCTGAGGCTGGCTTTGAAATCACAATCCCCCTGCCTCAGCCTCCAGAGCTGCTGGGATTTCAGGAGTGCACCACTATGCTAGCTAGCATTTCTTTGTACCCAATCCTTTGATTTTCTTCTTCTGGGACTCATTGGACTTGGATCTTCTTCACTTCCATATCTGTTTTCTTTCAGATTCTTTTTAGCCCTTTATTTCTCTTTGGTAATTTTTGCATTTTTACCTTTCTATTACAGCTTTACTTACTGTGATCTTTGGTGCTTATTTGTTCTTCTCTTTCTTCAAGTTTAGTTTACTTTTGGAAATTTTCTTATATTTCTAACCATTTCCTGAGCTCTGCCAGCTCTTTTTTTTTTTTTTTTTTTTAATGGATTTGCTATGTGGTCTTCTCATTTCTAATCTTCCCTAATTCTGATTTACTGCTATTCTTTCCTTGCTTCTATTGTTTGTTTATTCAAGTCCATTTTCTGCATTTGCTTGTGGAGTATTTTCAGGTCTTTTCATATGCTATTTGGGTATTATTATTTCTGTTTCTCTTTTTTCTTCGAATACATATAGAATTCAGTCACAGTCTGAATTTTTTTGATTTTTTTAAAATAAATGACAGTGGAATGCATTGCAATTTCTATTACACATTTAGAGCACAATTTTTCATATCTCTGGCTTATGAAAAATTGTGCTCTAAATGTGTAATAGAAATTATAATATACAATTGTAATAGAAATTGTATATACAGTATATTCACACCAATTCATGTCTTTATACATGCAATTTGGATAATGATGTCCATCACATTCCACCATCATGGCCAACCCCATGCTCCCTTCCCCTCCCACCCGTCTGCCGTATCTAGAGTTCATCTATTCCTCCCATGCTCCTCCTACTACCCCACTATGAATCAGTCTCCTTATATCAGAGATAACATTCAGCATTTGTTTTTTTGGTATTGGCTAACTTCATTTAGCATTATCCTCTCCAAGTCCATCCATTTACCTRCAAATGCCATGATTTTATTCTCTCTTATTGCTGAGTAACATTCCATTGTGTATATATGCCACATTTTAAAAATCCATTCTACTATTCAGCTATTGTGAATTGTGCTGCTATAAACATTGATGTGGCTGTGTCCTGTAGTATGCTGTTTTTAAGTCCTTTGGGTATAGACCAAGGGGAGGGATAGCTGGGTCAAATGGTGGTTCCATTCCCAGTTGTCCAAGGAATCTCCATATTGCTTTCAATATTGGCTGCACCAATTTGCAGTCCCGCCAGCAATGTATGAGTGTATCCTTTTCCCCACATCCTCGCCAACTCTTATTGTTGTTGTCACCAAACAATAAAAAGTTGTTGTTGTGTTTTTGGTTCTTTTAAGAAGTTTCATTGTAGATGTGTGAATGAAGACAGTTTTCTAACTTCACAGCTTCTTTATTCTTTAAAATATTAAGGCATACAGACTGGGACCATCTYCCTAGGACTTTCTGAGACTTGTCCCTCTTTTCCTCCCCTTATAAAACCTTCCTTCACTTTACTTCCAAGAGTGTGCTTCCTGTTAATTGTGTTTTTACTTTTCTCTGTTCCTTTTCAGTGTAGGGCTTCCTTATCCTGTAAGGGAGCCCTCTGCCCAGGCTTCCAGAGCCAGGTCCCACAGCCATTGTTTCCAGCAAGGCCCCTCCCACTACCCCTGTTTTCATGTCTCCCACTGAGTTCTCCACTAAGGGAACCTTTCTTTTGGTGTCTTAGGGGAATATCTGAGTTCTGGGCTCTGAGGACTTATTTCCTCTCTTGTCCTTGACATCACCATGATCTAAGTGCCTGAGGTGTTCTGAGGTTTAACGGGTTGCCTGGTCACCTGACTTTGTGGAAGCTAATATTCGTGGGGTTCTTTTCTTTTGCCTTCCTTGTTTTTTTTAAGACAATTTTACATTATTCAATTTGTAGATTATTGAAGCAAACCTAAATGGAGATTTGAACTTGAAGATAGAAACTGAATTAGTATGTATTACAACTCATTTTAAAGATCTTGGAAATCCTTCATTAGGTAAGTTTTCTTGTGGATTATATTTTTCTGTTGATAAGTTATTTCAGGTAACATGTGCTTTGAGGTCTCAATGCAGAAAAGTTGAAATTCAGTTTATTCAGTTTCATGCTTGAGAAGTCCAAGCATTTCCTGCTATCTGTTCCTACCCTGTAGTGGGACATTAGCCATTGGGGGAAGGGGCTGAGACACCAGGCAGCTGAGGGAACTGCACAGGGGATTCTTCCACCTCTTTAGAACTCAGATCATACTAAATGGGCTCCAAGATCCTTTCTAGCTTGTCAGTCCATTCTGCTCTGAGAGATTTCAGTTTCCGTACTGGAATATGCTCAGAAAGGCAGATATATTTCTTATTTTCTCCTTCTTTAGTCACTTCAATATTTATAAAATTAGATTAGCAGATATAAAATGTGATACAGATATACTTAGTCACGTAATGAAGGACTGTGGAGTTGGTTCAGCAAGCAGTGAAGGAGGAGATTGAACAGCATGCTGAGCAGTGAGGCTAGAGGAGCTGGCACATGTGGCTCAAGCAGATAAGCAAAAAAAGTATCTGCAAACAATGTGAAATTATTTCCTGACATATATATTTATTTGGAAACAGGTGAAATAGTTCCCAGTCACCTTTAAAATTAAAATTTATTACTACATTTGCTTATCTATACATAGATAAGCAATTTTAGCATAACACTGCAAAGGATTTTTACTTTGTAGTGAAGTGTATACTACTCTAGCAGAGTAAAATCTGTATGATTAAAGTTGAACAGTACTGCATGGAATGACTTATTTTGGCATTATTTTATTTATTTATTTATTTATTTATTTTTTAGTACAAGGGATTAAAGCCAGGGGTTTAAACTTAACCATTGAGTCACATTCCAAGCCCTTTTTATTTTTTATTTTGAGACAGAGTGTCACTAAGTTGGTAAAGGTCTCGCTAAGTTGTTGAGACTGGCTTTGAACTTGTGATCCTCCTGCCTTAGGGACTCTGGGATTACAGATGAGCACCACCACACCTGGCTATTTTGTTTATTTTAATAAATACAAAACAGAACTACTTTTGGTACTTTCCCAGAAGTTGAAAGACTCTTTTATTGCATTCTACTTTAGAATAAGAGGTTTTGTATTAGCTATCTACATTTCAGCTTTTAAATACATAGTAAGGAGCTAAGTGTGGTGGTGCATACCTGTAATCCAAGGTATTCAGAAGACTGAGGCAGGAGGATCAACAAGTTCAAGGTCAGCCTGGGTAACTTAGCAAGACTCCTTCTCAAAATAAAATAAGATGAATTTTCTAAAGAGAAGGAGATGGAGAAGTGGCTCAGTGGGAAAGGGCTCATGCAAGAGATCCTGAGTTCAGTACACAATACCAAAAATAAATAAATAGTGAATATCAAATATAATTTTCTTTCACATAAAGGGGAGGTTGAACCATATTTCAAGTTCTTGTAAATGAAGATGCCCTGGAAATTATCACAGTACTATTTATTTATTTATTTATTGGTTCCAGGTATTGAACCCAGAGGCACATAAGTACTGAGCCATATCCCCAGCCCTTTTTATATTTAGAGAAGATAGGGTCTCACTGAGTTGCTAAGGAGCTCACTAAATTGCTGAGGCCGGCTCTGAACTTGAAATCCTCCTGAATCAGCCTCCTGAGCTGCTGGGATTACAGGCGTGCACCACTGTATTTGGCTTATTACAGTATTTTAAATAGTTAGGACCAAATAAATACTCATGCAATGAGTGACAACATTTACAAGTTGTTATATTTCTCTAGGGTACTAAAATCAATTGCAAGGTGAAACATTTATTTAAGTAAGCATGTTTTGCATATTTCTGGATTCTGTTACTTCCAAGGATGTTATACTTTAAAACATTTGTGTCATTTTAGCCTCTGAAAATACTTCTCAGAACAGAAACCCAGAAGAGATGGCTGAGGTGCAAATAGATATCAAGAAGCTCCTCCAATTTCTTGCTGGACAGCAGGTGAATCCTACAAAGGCCATATGCAGTGAGTTTGCTTCTCTGTTTTTTGTTTTTGGGTTTGTTTTGTTTTTTGTTTTTTGTTTTTATCTTAGGCAGTTTAGTCACTCTAGTCCAACAGATTGCATGCCATCTTATAAATGCAAAATTATCTCAAGTATATGGATTTAAGCTTTCTAGGACAGTCAAGTTCTTAAAATTTGCCTGGATTTAGAAGCATCTAGAGGAAAGCCTACAGACACACTGGGTAGGCATGTGGCCTGCCTCATGTGGCCACCACGCAGCAGGTCATTCTTGCAGAGACACTGTCAGGAGGACCACACAGATGACTTCTGTTCACCAGGTTCCTCAGATTTTACACATTCAGAGTCCCCTGTATGCTGTGCTTGGATCTGAATTTTCATTCACAGTGTTTTGCTTCCTTTTTTTGTCCACCTTACCTGTGCTCACCACCAGAATCTCCTTCTCAGATGCTGGTTATTACTGATTACCTCTCAATTCTGGCTTAATCCTGACTCTGAGGTCACACATCTACCCTGGCTCTCCTTATCTACTGGCCACATGTAGGCAGGACATTCTTGTCAAGGGCTTCTCAGGGTGTTTTCTGCCTCCTTGCAGCAATCTAAAAGAAATTGTGGCCTGGATATAAAGCTCCTCCTTTTGTGCAATAGCTCCAAGGCTGACCCTTCAGACACTAGTGGATAAAGCTGAGGAGAATGGCCCAGAACAGTACCTTAGAACATTTGGATCTTCACTACACTATAGAGAAAAAATAGAAAATTCTGGGTGACTCTGTCAAAGAGAGACACAGAGAAAGCACTAAGAATAGAAAAGAGGGACTCTGGAAGGGGTGGTGGCGTCAGGTACTCAGGGAAGGTGGCAGATGGAGTATGTAGCACAGTTTGCCCAGTGTAAGGGGAATGTGGGCACTTGGGCCTTCTCTACATTGTGTCACTCACTGGCGAGCAGCAGCTTTTCCATGGAAGGGTGTGATTGACTCTGTGTGGTTTACTGGGAAGCCTGCCTTTTGGGTTTGAACCTAAGACCTGGGAAGCTGTGTTCTTCTCTCATTTTTTTCCCCTGAGAGATGACAGTTGCCTGTGTTGTGACCTCTTAAGGGACCTGCTGAGAAGACAGAGACCTTCCATAGGAGGTGTTCAGTGTGGAAAAACTGCTCTGATGGGGGGCATGTGTGTTTTGTGATGAGTCTTTAAAATAGTGGCTCTTCTCTCCCCAGATATTGTGAATAATAGGATTGTTCATTTTGATTTGCTTCATGAAGACGTCTCCCTACAGTATTTCATCCCAGCATTGTCCTAGCACCACCTTGCCAGATTTGAAAGCCCAGAGGCCTTTGTCCTGATGGGAGAGGCAGTGGGGCAATGTGTTCTGAGTCACTTGTCTGTCCTCACAACACCACAAATCTCCACACCATGCTTATTCTTCCTCTATAATATTTTAACTAAAAATGAAATCAGTGTAACATAGTTGGATAAGCATATTACTTTATATTATTTATGTCTGTTTTGTTTTTTTATTTTTTATTTGCTTTTAAGACATTGAGAAGAAGAGCTAAAATTTATCCAGCTTTTATTTATTTTGTGGTGCTGGGAATGGACCCTAGCACTCTACTGCTGAGCTACACCTGGCCCTCTCTTTAAACAGCAGTTTCTCATTGAAGTTATAAAAATCCTCACACATGTGGAATCAGTGTCATAGAATTCATAAGAGTGTTGCCCACAGAGCTTGGAGTTTTCCCCCAAGTACAACCTCTAGTTCAGCACACTGTTGGCCACTCTCAAATTTTAGCATGTTTCTCTCTCCTTGCTCCCATCCCCAAGAGCCCAGTGATAGAAAAGATGGTCCTTCTGTCCCCCACAGCACCTGTGGTTATTTAGTGCTCAATAACTGCAGCATAGGACCCTCTGTCCAACTTGCAAAGAACTCGAGCCCACTTGCCTCTCTGCACCCCGAGAGCTGGCCCAGACAACATGGTTCTCAGCTGCAAGCTTGTCCCTTCCTTCTGATGCTCTCACTGTCTCCCTGGGGCCAATTTTGCTCTTAAGTTGTTTTTTGCAGTGCCAGGAGTTGAACCAAGGGCCTTGCATGTGCTACACTGAGCTACATCCCCAGTCCTTTGGTTTATAATTCTTTATAGTGTTTTTTTCTCTGTGGTATATCAGATCTTTCATTTTGAGAAAAATTTGCATTTACAGTAGAAAAAAGGAATTTCTAAGTTAGCTTTTGTGTTAAATGATGAGACCTTGTTTCTGTTTATGTATCAAAGCTGATGCAGTTGTGATGGATGTGCTTCCTCATTCTCCCTGAAGCACATTCCATCATATTTCCTATTTTAATTAAATCTCATGTGACCTATGGAGGTGGACATAATACATAGAGTATTGTAATGTCTCATTACAAAGTCAAGACCTATTTTGTTTAGGATAAGATGAAGAAATGGAACATCAGCAAAAATGAAAATCTCTTTTGGTTTTATTATTTGATAAAACCAATGTATGTGAATGACTTTTCTGGTTTTTAGTAATGTTAGTTTCAGTAGGATGTTCTATTTTGTGAGGCTAACGTTTCAAAATCAGACATTTTAGTTTTGAAATGCTGTCTCCCTTCTTGGCTTGTAATAAAATCAATTCCCACTATAGTCATAAAACCTAAAAATCATGATGCAAAATAGAATGATATCTGAAAATTATTTTATAAAAAATTATGTTTGTGAAAATGTGTTATGACTTACCAGTTGTATAACATTTATTATCAGTGTATCTGAACTGTATGATTTTATGGATAGTTCAGGATTTCCTGTCCTTGGAATGTGGCTAAAGAAGTCCTCATTGGCAGTGGGGAGGCTACAGTCTTTCTGATTTTTGTCACAACTTGCTTTTTTTTGTTCATCAAGTCTCCTACTCATTGCTTCTCACAGACCTATATGATGAGGGAGGGAACTAGTAGAAAACCACAAACTTAGGAAGTGTATGGGGTTGCTTTATTGAACAGTGTGCCAAGATAAGATTATGTGAACAAGAAATAGCAACTTAGTTCATTTAGAGGACCAAAGATAACTTCTGGATTTTGGAAACACACTTTTACTGGCTGTGCATGTGTAAGAATTTAGGTTTGAGGAGCACTGTCCTAAATGTCAGAGCCAGTAAGGCATCCTCTTGCCTTGCCTGCATGGGCTCAGAGCCCAACTTACTTTTGGTAGCCCCATCTTTTGTTGTTGTTGAACTGGGCATTGGACTTAGGGGCACTTTACCACTGAGTTACATCCTCAGTGGATTTTATTTTTAATTTTGAGACAGCATCTTGCTAAGTTACTGGGGTATCCCTAAGTTAACTGAGGCTGGCTTCAGACGTTTAATCCTCCTGCCTCAGCTTCCTGAGTTGCTGGAATTACAGGGTGCTTCACCATGTGCAACTGATAGCCACATCTTGAACTGAGTTTTGAGACCATCCTGAGTAGATCAGGGAGACATAAGAATTGCTAATCCAGGTACTCAAGCTCACATCCAAGTGGCTTTGCCATCTTCCAGCAGCCTTTCCTTAGTTCAGCAGGGAATTGCTTACCCATCAGGTCTCAGATATAGTTTATTGGATAATGCTTCCCTAGCACAAAGGACCCTGCTCTTGCCCTGAAAAGTGGCATCAGCATTAGTTCTGGAGCAGGAATTCTGGTTCTGTCTCAGTGAAATTTCTTAATGATGTTCATATTCTTGGTATATGCTGCCAAATGGATAGAGTATTCATTTTTTTGAAGAGAGATACAATTCTATACATTTTTGTTTTAAAAACTTTATTGAAAGTCACTGATCATACAGTTAATCCATTAAAGTATTCAATCTGGTGGGGTTTAGTTTGTTCACAGGCCTTGTGCAGCCACCACCACAATTTTAGAACTTTGTCATTACCCAATAAGGAAAATCCCAAACCACTCAGTCATTCCCGTTTCCCACCCCTGCTCCACTTTTCCTTGCAGGCAACCCAGTTGTCTACTTTTCTGCCTCTGTACATTTGTCTTTTCTGGACATCTTTTTAAAGCTCCTCCTTTCTAACTGTAATTAGATATACTTCGATCAGTATTTCCACATACCTACCTTCGCCACAGCCACACAACCCCTGGTGAACACTATTCTACTCTCTACTTCTACGATTCCACATACGAATCACATGAGCAAAAACATACAATGTTTGTCTTTCCATGCCTGATTTATTTTACTTCACATAACTTCTCCAGGTTCATTCATTCATGTTGCTGCAAATAATTATAAAAGGTTATTTTAAACTGAACTTTGGTCACTAAAAAAATCTTTTAAATAATGTAAGTCTTCTTATCCTCACATTATTGTTGTTGTTGTTGTTATTGTGTGTGTGATACTAAAGGCCTCACATATGTTAGGTAAGTGCTTTACTGCTGAACTACAACTCCAACCCTTTTTTAAAAATTTATTTTGGGTTTCACTAGGTAGTCCAGCCTGGCCTTAAGCTTGTGATCTTCTTGCCTCAGCCTCCTGAGTAGCTGGGATTACAGGTGTGCACCACTGAGTCTGGCACATTTTGAATTTTTGATGTCACAATGTATAACTTTTTATATTACATAACCCTTAACTATTTGTAATTGGTGGGGAATACAAATGCCATCTCCCGCTTACTTTTTCTACAGTAGAAATCATCAATTCAGGGAAATTTGCTGCAGGTGGCACTCCATTGCCTTGATGGGGAGGAGCCTCACAGAGAACTTTCTCTTAACATATGATTGCAGTTTTTCTCATATCTGTGATTCAAGGGGCAACACAGCTTCACTGAGTTCTGGAGTACTCAGGGTGGTAATCTTGCCACTGAATAGTTGCTGGTAGAAATTCTGTRGGCATGAAAAGAAGCTGAGAACTCCACCATTTTGCTGACATTACTCTTTAATTCTGAACTTTGTAAGGATTCCGATAGGGAAAGTCTGAAAGGAAGCTCAAATTTTTTGGACTTTCAGAGCTGCTTCTAAATACAGTTGTTGAACTAAGACAAAATCATTTTTTATAACTGGTAATACCCTGAGATTACAGAGAAATCAATTAATCCTACTTGGACATTGCTGATGGTATTGTGAATTGATATCACTTGTTGGAGTCCAGTTTGGTGTTTATTATATATGAAAAGCCTTAAAAAAATGTATGATTTCCTTTGATAATACTTCTTCCTATAAGAATTTACATAAAGATTATAATCAAAGATATTCTAGTACTGTTATATGAAAACCACAAAATGTCTTAAATATAAATCAATGGGTAATTGGTTTTATGATCCATGCTTTGATATGTTTCATACTGTGAAAATAATGTTACAGAAAAAAGTATACCAAGATGACAAAATGTTTATGACTTGATAGTCAAGTTAAAAAAGCAGTTTAGGGCTGGGGATATAGCTCAGTGGTTGAGTGCTTGCCTAGCATGTGTGAGATCCTAGATTCAATCCCCAGTACTGAAAAAGAAAAAAAGTGAGATGTTAGTATGAACCAGGTGTGTTAGAAAAAGACTGGGAAGATACATATATACCAACATCCAAACCTGGCTATTTCTGGGTGATTCTGATTTCAATCTTTGTATAATTATGTATTTTCTAACAATTTTATAACCAATTGTAACAAAAAATACTTTCATTGGACTGAATAATAAATATTTATTATTTGAATATTTGTTATTTGAATATTTATTATTTGTACATATTTAGCTGTCATTTTCAGTTTCCTGAACTTCAGGCTTAAGTTCCTGAACTTCTGCACATATTCATTCTCATGAGTAGAAAATTAAAACTTATATGTCATATTGAAATTATACCAAGTTCAGAATGCTGGAGCATGGACCAATAAAATGGTATTRCATTGAAGAATGGCCTCTTTTTATCCCATGTGAATGTGTTAGCTTTCTGTCACTGTGACAGAATACTGAGATAACAAGAGAAAGGTGTATTTGGCTCACAATTTGGGGARTTTCAGTCTACAGTCTTTGACGTAATGCTTTTATGCCTGTGGTGAGGCAGTAGTTTTAGTCTGAAAAATTCTGAGAGAGACCAGCTAGGTCAGAGGGCTTAAAAAAAAAATCACTGAATGATAACAATAAGATAACCCCAATGGTAACATGAGGAAATAAAGCACCTGTTTCTGGTCTAGGTCCTGTACATATAGCATTACCCAGCTGAGCCAGTTTGGTAATCACATGCAACATGCATGGCTCTGAAAGATGCTGAATCCCACGTCTGAATACCCAGTGATAGATCCTGCTTCTTCCCAGCCTCCTAATATTAGGTAAGTCAGTTAACATCTTAGAGAGGTGGCTTCTCTAACAGTGATTAATAATGTTCACCACCTGTGTGGTTGGAATATCAAGGAATTAAATTCCTCAGAGACACAGTTCTCAATTGGGAAGTATAAGATGTCAGCATTTGTAAGCCTTACCAAAAAAAAAAAGAAAAGAAAAAGTAAACCAGTGGATCCATGCTGTTTTATAGCAACCAGCAGGGCAGACCCAGTGCTTCCACTATTTCTCTGAAGCTCACAGAGACTTGGTCAGCACTGCCCAGAACACTGACATCATCCAGTGACCTTAGGGCTGACAATCTGTGTTCCCAGCCTAGAGTTATTTTAAAATTTAGGTTCTTAAAAAGTCTACATGTAAATATCATAACCATTGAATTTCCCATTTGARATGTCTGTGTGATCCACTTTCTTAGAAAATCCTACTTGGGTCACCTGGGCGAGGTACTTCCCCTCAAGGGGATAAAAAGCAGGCCACCAAACAGATGCAGGAACCAGCATTGGGTCTTGAGCTTCTTCCTGGTGTTTTTGTGCTTTGTTCACTGTTTTCACTCTTTGCAAATAAATCCTGCTGAGGAGTCAACAGGTGTAAGGAAGGAGTTCTCATAAGAGGGCAAGGCTTGGCAGCAGCTTCTCCTAGTTAACACTTCACTGTTCATATACAGGTTTCCCAAAGCAGCTTCACTAACTGGGACTTCACCAATTTCTGGAGCATGCAATCTTGTCAAATCAGGAATGTGATGCTAAGTATGACTCTTGGATGTTATTTGTCCTCAAAGACAAAAGGTGGACCTAAAATAACCAAGAGAAACAGTGGCCACTTCACCCCAGCTCTGTGGGGGAAGCTTAAAGGAACCATGCCCAACCAGGGGTGCTTACCGTGAGTCTGTTTTGCATATTCTCACATTATATACGTGATCTAGTAGCATAGGTTTCTCAAGAAGACTTTAATCAGAATTTATGATATGTTGGACCAAATAATACTTATTTACTCGATGTGGAAAAAACACTCTAGACAAAAAGAAAAAAAAAAAGCGGGGAAGCAAGGCTGGCAGGTGGGGGGTGAGCACAGGAATCATGAGGATAAAGAGAGTTGTTCACAAATCAAATTGAAAATATGTGCTTCAGATGAAATTATGGCATTTGCAGGTACATGGATCGAGCTGGAGAATATCATGCTAAGTGAAATAAGCCAAACCCCAAAACCAAAGGCTGAATATTTTCTCTGATCAGTGGATACTGATCCATAATGGGGGCAGGGGTGGGTAGGGAAGAATGAAGAAACTTTGGATTGGGCAGAGGGAAACTCGGGGAGGTGASAGGGTGTGGGAATGGGAAGGATGATGGAATGAGATGGACATTATTACCCTATATACATGTATGATTATATTACCGGTGTGATTCTTTCTGTACTATGTTCAGCCAGAGGAATATGAAGTTGTGTTCCATTTGTGTACAATGTTTGAAAATGCATTMTACTATCCTATAACTACTTAGAACAATTTTTTAAAAATAAAAAATAATGTGCTTCAGAACCTAATAAATTCCCATAGAGAGTGTGTGTGTATGTGTGTGTTGGTTGGTTTCTTTTTCTTTTTCTTTTTTTTAGCAAATGTATTGGACAACATAGGTGGTTATTTAATTACCCACTCAAAATAAATCAAAGTGATAAAGTGATCACTGAACCCTGCAATCCTAAGAGATGATCCCTACTGTGATAACTGCAGCCCTCCTGTGGAGTTGCAGCATGTGATTTTGCAGAGAGAACAGGACATTGATGTCCTCCCTACATTCCAAATGGCTGAAAGACCAAAAGCATCTGGGGGAAACTTATCAAGGTGTTAGTTATGTGATAGACTGAGTTATAGACATATTTATTTTGAAGCCAATGGGAAGCATGCATGATTATAGATGAAATGGGCATCCTTTGTAATCCAACAAGTATTTATGATTTGTGTAAGACAAAATTACCATTTTTATCCCTGTTTATTGGTGCAGGGGATTGAACCTAAGATCTTGAGCATGTTAGACACATGTTCTACCACTGAGTCACAGCCCACAGCCTCTGAATGCTCACTTTTAGTCCCTGCTGTACAAAATTGTGCTTTTACTAACTTGAAAATGGCCTTCAAAGTGCTCTGGTGTCTCTCCATTACAAATTACAAGGCACCCAGCTATTTTTTCACAAAATCATGTTATAACCATGTTTAATGGAGCTACTGTTGAGCCTCAAAGATGGTTAACACCCTTTTCCCTAAAAATTAGCACCTTTTGGGACATATTTATGTTAGGGAAAACAGCCCAGAAAATGTTGGGAGGGCATAAGATCCCAGACCCCCGCTGGGGAGGATGTTTGTTTCCCAGGACCATCTCATGATTGGCTGATTGTTCCAGTTGCTGGGTGGGGTGGGGACTGGGAAGGCTCCCTGCTCTGGCCATGGACAAGGGAAGCCCAGTTCCCTTCTGTGCTTCAGAACCCCCTTCTAGCCATTCTCCTGCTTGCACTCATTTACCCAAAGCCATCTGTGATTTTGATGCTGAACCAGAGGACCCATGGGAGCATTTTGCTTGAGACCGGGGTGGAGGGTGCTAATWGGAGCATTATCCCTATTCTCTTTGGTGCAATCCACTCCAGGGATTGGCTCAGCAAGTGGTAAGTTGCACATTCTACCAAGATCTTTCCCTTATTTATTTATTTATGCCACAATTTCATTACCAAAAATTGGCCTTGGTGCTGTGTTTGGTACTCTGTGTGTTGGGACCTCAAGTGCTTCTGAAGGTGGGGTGGCTGCTGTGCAGGATTCAGAGTATCTAGAGATAGACAATAGTGTCCTCATTGGACAAGGTGCTTCTAGGAATGTTACAGAAATGTAGTGACTGCCAATTTGCTAAGACCCTTATGGAGTGAAAGTCAGTGCCATCCCAGGAAACACCATTTGAAGGTAAGAAACTGAGGCATGAAGGTCATGAGGTAATAATAATCAGAGCCTGGGCTTATGACCTGAGAAGCAAGGTTGATTACTCATGAGAAACATCATTCTAAAATTAATTTCCCCCTGTATGTTTTACATATGCACTTGTCTAAGTTGCAAATATACTCGCCCAAATCATTAAATGCCATCCATGACATGGGAGAACAGTTCCTCACCTTTTCATTTTAGCAAGAACCCTATTCAGTTGAAACAGCAGCTACCTTTTTATTATTATTATTATTATTACACTGAATCCTCTAAACAATCCTGTTTGCTTTTTTCTTAGATGTTGAAACTCTTCAGGTGACATTACCCACCTTCTAGTATCCATTTATCTTTTAAATTATGAACATCTAAATACCCTAAGTTTTGTGTGCAGTAAGTCACGGTGTGATTGGATAAATTATTATTCAAGAAGCAGGATAAAAAATTGAGTATTAAATTTGAAATACAAAATCTATGGTTTAAATAATCCTAAGCTTTTGTTCCAAGCTTACCCATGGTGAAGGGGAGAGGATAGTTCTATTCCATTCTCTGCCTTCCAGAAGGATCTCCCAAAGCTCCTTCTTGCTTTCACCAAGGTGGGGGAATCGAAGTGGGGGAGCTGGTATCTGTCCTTGCACATGAATTTTGTGCAAAAAAAGAACTTCTTTTCTTGTCCCTTTTTCTCCCTTTATCAAAGTCATTTCTAGAACTCCACATRATGTTTTCCAGCTCACTTGATCATGTCCAGGTCTAACCTTAAGTGATATGTCTCTCTGTCCTCAAGAGTGACACAGTATGACTTTGGCTTTGTATTGGGCTCCATGTTGTACTAACAAAGTGTCCAGCAGACCCTAGGTCACAGGGAAAAAGCAGAGGGTGTGGATGACTGGGTAACTCCATTCCCTGGCTTCACCCTTTCTGAGGATGGGATGCCCACAGCACTGCTAGGAAAGAGGAGCTGCCCAGCCTAGAATAGGCTACCAGGATGTTCTGTGATGATGGAAATGCTCTGTACCATTGCTGTTGATTCCTTTCATTTGACTACGGTGACTGGCCATTGATGGGGAAGCTAATTCTCAATTTACTTCATTTAAGCTCCAATAGCTCCAAGTGCCTGGGGCTCTTACTCAGGACAGGGCAGTCACATTTCTTCTCCCAATTATGTTACTTTTTTTGCTCTTCACCATTTCCCAGTGTCTTTGATTAGCAATGTTGGCTTCACGCACTGAATTTAGGTCATGGTTCTCATTACATCCAGCCCCAAGACTGGGTGGGGGTGGGGAGGCAACAGAGCAAGGTGGGCTATTGATATCTGATCTGCAGATGTGGGTGCCAACCCAGCAGGCCCAGAGGCAGGTGTCTTTACTTAGGAACTCTCTTTGGACATGAGCCTTTAGATTTGACAGGAAGGTGTCAGAGCAAACAGCAGGGCTTTTTAGAGGTTTTGTTTGCTTACAAACAAATTGCAATTGGCAACTTGTCCATCCTTGGGCCCAAGTACATTTGAAAGTATGCCACTAACAATACATGTCCCCAGATCTCTGGGATTTATGCTCAGCAAACATAGTGGGGAGAAAACTASAGGGGCTGATATGGCAAGGAGAGGAGATAAGAAGGCAGTCTCCTGGGAAGTGTGGCCCATGGGGYTTCTGGGCTGTTCTGAGGAGCTGCAGTAAATTTCTAGCAAATATAGGATTTAGACAAATTTGCCCAGGGCCAAATCCTACAGGCTTTTTCCTCATCCTCCCGGGGTGTTCTTCCCTTTTCCATCTGAAAAGGAAGGGGTTATGTCCCCAACTTGTTCCCATTCTTCTGGGTATCACTCTCTTTTCCTATTAAATACAAATTCACAAACAATTCTAGAATGGAGAGAAATCTAATTTCCTAGGTAAAACACAAAACTAAGTTTTGTAAACTTTCTATGAAATGTTGATGTAAAGAATTAAAGAACTAACAAATACCTTATAAAAAGAAATAAAAAGAATGTTTTATAACCAATAGGACATAATCCCACCCTTTGAACTGCAAATGAGGAAATGGGCTGAGGGCTACAGAGAGCAGCTCGTTCCTAGGGTCCATGTAGAGGGAGAGGCAAGCTGTGGGAGTAGACAGCTCCTTCCCTGCAAGTCTGCCCTGTGAATACTCTTCTGTAAGGTGTCCTATTTTTATTATCAGATTTCTCTCAGATTTCATGTACAGCCTCTCCTGTAAGGAGTGATCTGTTTCAGGCAGCCACACAAAGATCCCTATCTAAATCATGCCTCAGAAGAAGTTGTCTAAAAGGATTGGGAGAACAAAAGCTGTTTCAGATTATAGGAAAATAGTATTGAAGTGTATTTTTTTCTCCATGTATGACATGTGTCCTGATGTGAGGTTCCAGTGAAGAAGCTCGAAGCATTGAAGCCCCCCATTTCACTGTCTTCCAGGAAATGTTGGAGAAAGCTGGTGTCCTTACCGCTGTATCCAAGACAGGCCAACRCAAGGCATGGGTGAGGTGAAGGCCAAGGGCATTTGTGATGGCCAGGAAAGGTGAGCCAGGGCAGTTCTCTAGGGGCTTGATAATCTGGACTACACAGTATGCCCTCAAAAATGTTACTTTCAAAAGAAATGTTTTACTTTTTAAAAAAAAATGTGTGTGTGTGGGGGGTGGTTTTAAAGCAGTTGCCCAGATTGAAGAATTGTACATATCTAGAATTAAAGTTTAGCTGTCTTTGTGATGTTCTAAGTAGGACACCTGTGATTGGCCTATGATATCACAAAGATTGACTCCAAAGAAAACAGACACTTGGTATGTTAATTAGGCAAATCCAGATTCTTTCTACCTTCCCACCTCTCTGCCACAAGAGGGTCTGTGCTCTGATGTGGCATTCTGGTCCTCAAAACTCTTAGGGTTGTTCCTGGGAAAATGATCTAAAGGACATTCTGGGCTCACTCTGGTGGGGAGGTGGGGGATGAGGGCTGCTGTAGCAGCAGGTGCGCTGGGAATGCATACATCCCTGAAGGCATCTGAGAGGACTCTTCTAAGGCTGCCTTCATCACTGAGCAGTGCCAACTACTCTTCCTGTCAAAGATGCCCACCACATTCCCAGGCCCACCTGCTGCCAGAGGAGGACACTGTTAGTGTCACATCATGTCACCAGCAGGCAGCTGGTGGCAGAGTTTGTAATGTCACAGGCTTCAACACAGCATTCTGTACACACAGGGTGTGGGCAAGAGGGTTAAGATATAAGACACATGGGCTGAATCCCTGTGACCTCACACCATACTCTGCCATCAGCTCTCTGCTGGTGGCAAGATGTGGAATTAATGTCTTCCACAATCCCTTCCCCAGATCTGGGACAGTGTTGTGACCTGGCTGTGGGACCTGGCGTGAGGGAGAGATACCTGTTCCATAGACTCTGTCCAGGTGGGCAGGTACCCCAATGCTGTGAGTTCAGAGTCAGAACACTGGTCCTGAGTGTACCCCACATCCTAGCAGGGGACCTTAACAGGATGCTTCACCTCTTTTTCCCCAGGGTTCTCACCCTGAGAATCTGAACAGCTGTCCCATCTRTACTCTCCATGGGGTCCTTACAGACAACAGTGAAGCAATAACCTTAGGAAATGTTTGCCTTCCTGCCTTATTTACTTTACTGTTTGCTTCTGCATCCCCTCCATCATTTTTCTAAAGAAACCAAGGCAACCTGTGATCAGGACAATTAGGCTGCCCAGATTGTTGGGTTGGCCACATATATGCTTGGAAATTTCTTTATATTGTGTTGTTTCTGCCAAAGATTGGTCAATTTTATCTACAGRGTTTTTTCCTTGACTTTTTTTTTTTAATTATCTTTCCTTTTATCCCAAATTCACTTCTTCTTGCCAATTCCCCAAGCCTTGGTTGGCATATTTGACATTCACTGTTATCAGCCAAGGAATTAGAAGAGATTATCCTTTTATTCATAGTAGTATATGAAGGGTCCTTCATCTGTGGCCTGTAGGATCCACAGAATGGATAAAAGTTAGGTTGGCTTTTCCCTTAGTTTTATCTGCTTTCCAAATCTTTGCAGAAATCCTTCAGATTTGGTAGTATGATTTGCATGTTTCCAAAGTTTTCCCATTTTTTTCATTTTCATTTTCCCATTTTCCTGGCCTTTGGAACTTAAGCATGCTTAAAGTAAGACAAGAAAATCCTTGGAATTATTCAGTAGCTTATAGAGTTCTTTTACTTAGTGACCATCTTCATCTTCAAAGTTTAGCTTTACGCTTCTCTTTAAATATGCAAGGTGCTCGTCTGCCCTCTAGTGGCAGCTTCTTGGTTACTGCATCAAGAACCAAGCTTGTAGAAGCCTTGACGAAATTAAAATATATGTCTTCTAGATTTCATAGACATCCTAGAGAGAGATTAAAAATACTGCAAAACTGAAAGCATCTTCATGGGAGAGGGAACCTAGGATGTTAAAATGAGGATAACACTTACCTGTAWTGAACACTTAGCACAAGCAGCTTTCTAGAATGACAATCCTGGCAGCAGCCTCATGAAATAATTTCCTGTCGTTCCCATCCTACGGAGTAGGATGAGGAGGACAAGGAGAAGGAGGCTGTCAGAGAGGTGGAGTAACTGCTCTGTCTAGGAAAAGGCAGATGTGGGGCCTGTTCTTTACATGGGCACAATAGCCCATGTGGAAACTGGAGGCCAGTAGAGGTTTCCATTACTCCATTGCAGCCCTGCTCTGCAGCTGGGAGCTGACATGGACAAGAAACCCAAATCACACTATCRGTTTCTGTCTATGACCAGAACCCAGGGTACCTGCATCAGGGATATTTCATTTGCTGTACACGGATCTTCTTAAGGTTGTTGACTAGGYGTCAGATACAGATTATCCAGGTTTTGAGGAGCCAGAGCCTGGAGGGCAAGGACCAGGTGCCTGGTGCTAACAACTATCTGATAAACTGAGAGTGGATGAAGTCTTCCAGGCCTAAGGAATCCTAGAGAAGTCAGCACCACTGTGCCAAGGCAGATAACACCCGGAGGCTGACTGTGCACTGCAACTTGAACTCTGGAAGAACCTGCAGGAAACATAGGTAGAAGATGGCATGGACCTGAAATTGGCTTTGGGTGCTTAAGGACTAGTGTAAATGTTGGTGCTGCCACTTACAAATTGGTATGAACTTGGACAAATTAACTCAACCACCTGGGCCTCCACAATCCCCTCTTACAAAGTAATTGCTCTTAACTCTGTGTTAATTTTCTGTTGCCTTCAGTAAGGCTTTGAAATAACCAATTTATAAAGAGAAAATTTTGTTTTGCTTTCAGTTTTGGAGGTCCAGTCCCTGATGGGTTGACCCTGTCACTTTTAGGCAGCACAGCCCTCAGGGAACACGTTGCAGAGCAAAACTCCTAATCTYGTGATCAGGAAGTAGGAAGCCAGAAAGACCTGGGTCCCACAGTCCCCTTTGAGGACTCACCCCCAATGACCCAAAGACCTCCCAGTAGGCCCCACCTCTCAAAGGTTCCATTGCTTCCCCATTGTGCCACTCTGGGGACCACGACTTCATCTCACTGGGCTTTGGGAGACACCGAAGATCCAAACTGCAGCATCCTCTCCAATTTTCTGTAAAGATTAAGGAGGATGTCAGGGTGTACCCTGTTGTGTTGGCAGTGTTGCACATTCACGTGACCACGAACTGGCATTGCTCCTGTCCAGCCTGCCCAATCCACACAGGGCTAGAAGAATGTGGCCTCAGCCTGAGAGTGAACTGCAAGATCCACAGAAGGTGAAGCATGAGATGGGAGTGTCACCGGATGAGGTCTGAGGAGGTCCCAGAAGGGAAAAGAGCACTTCAGTTCAGCTTTGGCAGGTTTTTACTTACACTATAGAAAGGAATTTCAGGGTGCACCAAAAGAGGCACAAATAGAGACTTGTTCAGGGAAGCAAGGAGATTTATTCAGCAATAGAGCAGGATTTGCACTAAAAGGGAGGAGTGCTTTGGGGCAGCAAAACAACTTCACCTCCATCCTCTTAGGGACTTACCAGCGGGTGAGGTATTGGGGGTCCCTGGCTTCTTTTAAAGGAAACCTTGTAAAAGGCAAACATGAGAAATGTAAGGGGATGCCATCAGGCTAATGAACTCGATTCCTTGGATTGTGGAGCACAGAGCAGGCTGTGGTGGTCTGGTTCTTCTCAGAATCTTCTGGTTGACACTGTCTCGTTAATACGTAGCACTTGGAGGGGCACCATATCATGGGTCTTTAATGATGTCTCTCTAGTCTTTTAAAAATCCGTCTAAAAATACATTTTGTAAACAACGATATGTAGGCACTAATTAACTGGACTTGTGGTACTATAAAATTTATTGACCCTTTTAAGAATTTAGACCTGGAGCAAAATAGGCCTGAGGGGTGAAAGTGAAGGTGTTCATGGAGCTTCCATACTTTGAGTCCCTGTTTTCTTCTGTCTCCTTTCTACTTAGCCTCATTTTTCCATCCTATTTCAGAAGCAAGTGGAGTCCTGGAAAGGTGGCGGCTTCGGGGCTTAGCATGAGGGCCAGCTCTTTGCATCTGAGCAGTCCAGGCCTGGGGACAGCTGGAAAATAGAAAATAGAATACAATTGAACCCATAGGCAAAATTCTTCCTTTTTATTTTTTTAATTAAAAAAAATTAAATTCTTTACTGAGTTGCTGAGTCTGATCTCAAACTTGTGATCCTCCTTTGCCTCAGCCTCCCAACATTACAGGTGTGCACAATCATGCTGGCTTGAGCATGGTTTTAACAGATGGGAACTGACTGATTTTAACAGTCAGGTGGGAACTGAATTTCAGTGAACTCTGGCAAACAACCCTCAAATTTGGAAGACCCAAGTGCACCTAGAAGCAGTTGCTCCTTGCATGTGTGGCAGCCAATTTTGTGCTTAAGTAATCTGTGACAGAAATATAGATGGCTACAGGATGGTTGTGATTAAACAATGGTGATTAAATTAATGGCCTTCTATTTATTTCCACCCCTTCAGGTGTCTCCAGGACGCTTGCTACCTTTCTTGGTACTGCCAGACCCCTATAGAGGCTCAGAAGAATAGAAGTCTTCGACTGTGCAGCTACAGCCTTTGCCTTCCTTATAGCCAAGGGCCAGTGGGTGAGGTGTTGGGAAAGGGACATGGCTACCAAATCCTGGCCAAGGGCACCCACAAGCTGGAGGGTTTCAACCCTTTCCCACAGGAGGAGACAAGGACTCTGTGCAGCACCACCCATGGTGGGAGGCRGCCTTGGGGTTTAGAACACATGTCTGAACCTAAGCCTGTGGGCTCAGCTCTTCCCCTGAGGATTCCCTTCACTGGGAAGTGGGGTGGGATCTTAGTAACATATTACTCCTGTAATYCCACTGGCTCAGGAGGCTGAAGCAGGAGGATCATGAGTTCAAAGACAGCCTCAGCAATGGTGAGGCGCTAAGCAACTCAGTGAGACCCTGTCTCTAAATAAAATACAAAACAGGGCTGGGGATGTGACTCAGTGGTCTAGTGCCCCTGAGTTCAATCCACAGTACTCCTCGCCCCTACTCCCACCCCCMAAAAAATATAAGTTACTGTTATAGGGGCATGCACCTCCATCCTCTTAGGGACTTATCTGGGCCTGCAAATAATCTRGTCTAAGAAGATTGAAGGGGGAAAACTTAAAAATTTATTTTATACAAGTTTTATGTGTCCTGGGAACCCTCATAAGAAAATGAAGACCTGAAGAAGAGTTAGTCAGTGACTTCCATATTCAGTTGGACAGAGATTGGCAAATTTTGGAAATGTCATAAGGCCAAGRCTATTGAGGAAGACCAGGAAGATAAGGGTTAGTTTAACAAGCCTGTTTGTATAGGATTCTCTTGGCCTTAACATTGGTGATAAGAATGTTGCTTTTATTGCTTGCATAGGAAGGGCATCTTTCACATGGGAATTTCATCTTCTGCTTTTAAGAAAGAGATGAAGGTCACAGTGATCTTGCACTTGTGGTTTTCAGAGCTTTTAACTTAACAATCAATAGGCCAGGGTTGTATATTTTAACTCCTTCTCTGGGGCACACCACAGACCTTCTGTTCCAGGAAGGATACAGACGCCAACCCTGAGAACCCCTGTGTCTATAGTGGGGCCTCCAGAGGCCAGTAAGGGGAATGCTAATGTTCTAAGAAGTTCCATGTGTATTGAGGTAGAGGCTAGAGGGYATTCTTGTTCCTCCTTCACCCAGGGAATATTTCCAGTTTTTTTGTTTTGTTTTATTTTTGTTTTTCAGTATTGAGGATAGAACCCAGAGCCTTCAGCATGCCAGGCAAGTACTCTTCCACAGAACTACATTCCCAGACCCAAGTGTTAATTTTTTAGATAATTGTAATAAAATAGTTGACTGAAATTTAATTTCCCATATTCCTTTAAGTAGAAATAACTTTTTCAACTTCGATTATGCATTTCATAGATAAGAGGAGCTAAAAAATACTGACTTTAAATTTTTAAAGAAAATGTCAAGGACACATCAGTTTGTTTTAACAGGTCAGACTTTTCTTCACATCACTGAAGCACAGCACAGTAGCTTTGAAGACTGATGACTTTAGAAGACACAAAAGGAACTTACTATTCTGATTAATTCCCAAAAAATTCTAAATATTTTCCCCCACAGGTATATCCAGTTCAAGAAATGATTTCATACCTGAGTGGTCACATCCATCCTGTGGTTGGCAGCTGAATCAAACTCCTAAATTACTTTTAAAGAACAGGATCATAGCCTTAAGTTTTTATCTCCAGTGTTTATTATCACAAGATATTAATACACTGGATTCTTGATAGTAAATTGTAATGCTGACTCCAAATGTTTAAACTGGATTCAACATTGTTCTAGAAAGTTGAGTGTTCTGGAAAACTAGGGGAAGCTGACAGCCTGTGATACTGCCCAAGTGGRACCCTGAAATTAACAAATACCACTTTGAAGCATTACCCTCTATTGGCCAGGCCCTGCCCTGCCCTGGTGCAGCTCCAAAACTTGCCACTCAAAGTGTAGCATGGGACCTGGGACTGGGTTCTTTGTATTGCAAATTTCAAGAATGGAATCCACAGATACAAGGGTGAGAGCAAAGTAACAGGATTTATTAGAGTAACCAAAGGAAAGAAAGCAGAGCTCCCAAAGGGGAGAGGTCCCAAGGGAGGGATGCCACAGTGTGGCTGTTGTCTAGGGTTTATGTAGATCTCTAGGGTTAAGCTAACCTCCTCCCCAGTCCTGGGTAAGGCACTCAGTGTCCACAAGCTCTTCACATACCCTTTCTCCAATCAGGTTACTGTGCCTTTTTTGGTGATGGTGGTGGATTCTGGGTACTAGGCAGCAAGTGCCTCACTATCAGCTACTTTTTCTGCATACACAGGAGTTTGCATGACTTTGATGAGGTCTGGCTTGTGTCTGTAGTTTCTCAGTCCTGCAACACAGAAAAMTGACCTTGAAGGAGSCCCGGTTTCCTGCTTGSTCATTTTAACTTTTCTCCTGCCTCAAAAGCAGCCTGCAGAGCTTCAGTTTCTTCCCCCTGTGAGTGCCTCTGGTCCATGTAAGAGACTGGGGTTAAAGGAGCATAGACCTATGGGTTCTCTTATAGGATTGGAGGTCAAACAGAACAGCAGCACTGTGCTCCCCTCCCCTCTGCAGCCCTCCAGTCCCACCTCCCACCCTCCTGGGACAAGGACTCTGTGAGGGGAGAAACAGGCTGCAAAAAGGGCAGCTCTTGYACGAGGAACACTGCCTGGCTTCTCACTCAGGGTGGCTCTGTGCAGGGCCAACTGAAGCAGAAACATTTTTCTTTGATTATGAACAAATTCAAATACTCACACAAGTAGGAAGAATGGTATCATGAATACCTTTGAACATGGGTCAAGATCTTCCTACATCTGTTCTCCACAGACATGGAAGGCAACAGCGCCCTTCTTCCCTTGCCAGGTGGAGGCTGGCCCCTGTGCCTTCTGCTTGCCTGTGGTCACAGCCAGATTGCCTGTGTGTACTCCTAGCTGTAACTTTAGGACATCCTCATTGCTCTTCCTTTTTTCTTTTCCACAGTTCCTCTGGACTGTGGTTTCCTCCCCTTTGCTACACACCCCTGAGTTGTGACCCCTTTACCCCCATCATTTTAGAGTTGGTCTATCAATGTATTTCTGCCAGAGACATTCTTCCTGGTGTGGCCAGTAGTAGAGCCTTCCCGACATTGCCTACTACGTTACACCTGATGTCAGCATACATCCCAAGGAGTCCARTCTTCTTAATTAGCCTATAGTCCAGGGCAGCCTTGACCTGGCATAGAGACCAAGTCTTTGTCTCTGCTTTTATCTCCCTGCCCATTGCCGCCTTCCAAATATGCTTTTCTCTTTCTATAGATACCCATGCTCATTCCATGCTCTTGGTGAGCAATGAGCAGTGTAGCTGTCCTTCCTGTGCTCTGAAAGGGATGACARGAAACTTCAAGTTCCAGAAGCTGCCACCATGGGCTCCCAGGGAGAAGGTGTGCCTTACACCAAGCTGCTCCTATGTCCGGGGAAATGTAGCTTTTCTTCCGGAGAACACTACGTGTGCACCATGCTGCTTGGAAAGCTTGTGTATTCCAGCAGTTTGTCAGGTACTGTGTTCCCATCATGCAAATTTGTGCACAAGAAACAAGCCTAAGTTATAGAGCTTTCATTCTGTAGTGACAACCAGAACGTAGCTCCACAGTTAAGAAATGTGGAGAAGGCAGCCTTGGCCCAGGGGAGGGGGACTACAGCTCAGGTGGAGAGTGGGGCTGACCCTCAGGTAGGAGGTGGGACAGTTCCCCAGGTTGGGAATGGAGTTGTTCCCCAAATGGGGAGTGGACTGTCCCCCAGGTGGAGAATGGGGCTGTGCCTCAGGTAGAGAGAGGGGCTATCATGGGARAAGAGATGTCTCTGAAGAATGATCCTAGGAGTTCCAGAAAGAAAGGAGAATTTGACTCAGGACCAATGGGTATCTTAGCATAGATGTTAGATCAGAATTTCAGCATGTACCAGTTAAAGGCATAGAGAGAAGTTTATTTGGAAAAGTAATTATGTAGTCAAGGGACAATGGGGGCAAACTCAAGAGAAAGAGAGGCCAGTGACTCAGGGGGTGGCTGAGGGAAGAGGATAACAAGCTCGAGGCCAGCCTCAGCAACTTAGCAATGCTTTGTCTCAAAATAAAAAATAAGGATGAGATATAGCACCCTTGGGTTCATTCCACAAAGATGTGGGGAAGGGAAAGGGAGTGGGAGGGAAAGGAGGAGGAAGAGAGACTCTCTACTCTCCAGATACAAAATATATACCCTATAGCCACATACCCAATGAATCACTTCTTCCAGCCACAGCCCTACTGCCTCCAGTTACCACTCAGTTAAAYCCATGAGGGATTAATTCACTGATTAGGTTAAGGCTACAACCCAATTAGTTCTCTGATTCTTCTTGTATTGTCTCACATGTGAGCTTTTGGGGGATACCTCACTTCAAAACCATAACAGTTTCTCAGAAGTTGCAATTATTCATGGGCACTTTCTGTATTTCAGTGTTTCATGTGTGTTTCCTACATTTTAATAGTTCAAGGATGCTTTCTTTGGGACTCAGTATCTCTCCCTGTATTACCAAATTTCTTTCTCAGGGCTGTTCCCCAAGTAGGAAGGGAGGTCATCCTTCAGGCAAGGTGGGGTCCAGTCTCACAGATGGGGGTGGTACTCCCTCTCAGAATGCTCCAACTAGAAAAGGCTGCTAGCGGCTGAGAGCACAGGAAGCATGTTTTCTTTGAGGGGTGTGGGGAAGCTCTTTGAAGTCCCTATTAATAAAGTTCTGGTTACCTGGAAGTACAGGAGTTCATTGATACCTGTTTGTCAGAGGACTGACAGAGATGGGGTCTAAAGGCTGGGGTAAGGGGACAGGCACTGGCAGTCAATAGAAATGAGAACACAGGGGGATATCCTAAGGATGGGGAAGGTGGAGGGTGGTTGCCATACTGGGGGTGGGGCAGGAAGAAGAACAAAAACTACCTGGACTGATATGCTTTTAACCAATGCTTTTGACTCCAGTTACACAAAATCAACCCAGAATTGGTGCTTCTGTGTTTCAAATTCCAGGAGCTAGTTCTCTGGGGAAGCTCCCCGATTGTCTGCTGGCCTTGGGAAAAATTACTCTGGAGTTAATTTTTTTTCAAATTCTTTATGGAGGCAACATTACAAGACTTTCCCTGTCTTATGCGTAGTACATCCAACAGCATTTGTGTTGAAAATGAACTTGAATTCAATCTRCATTGTTCATATTTGGAAGCCCTTCTATTCTAAGATATCACTTCTGGYTAGGAATAAAGTTCAAAAAGGTATTTTGGAGGTTCTCAAGAAAGAATGTTTAAGCAAAGGTGAATGTCAAATKATAGTCTTATGAGTCCAATGATGGAAGAAGAAGGACCTGCATTTCTCATGTTACACAATGCCAATAGCTCMATCTGATGACTCTTACTGGTCCTCAGCACCACCCCACCCCTAGTCCCCACCTGCAATTTACACACAAGGGGCAAACAGACCTCATGCCTCTTGAGCACTTGGTGAAGATCTATTATGCAGGGKCACCTGTGGAGCTTCAAAATCAACAGACTGTTAGAAATACCCAGGTGCTGCAAATCAAACACCTGCTGGGAAGTGGTCCAAAATGAGTGGGCAAGGCAAATTTTACTTGTGTTGGGATACCTGGCTAGTAAGTGTTCCAGGAGGGCAGTCAGCCTGCTTTCATTCCTAATGCATTGCTTCCCTTTGTCCTGATAGGAGGATCTCAGGGTTACAATCTATGCAATTAGCTAATTTTAAAATTGGGGAGGACAAAGGGAAGGGATATAATTAAAATGGCTACTATTCAAGTAGATCTTACATCCCAATTAAAACTAAATACTATCTTCTGCTACTTCTTACAAGACCAAGTCAATCAGTGCCCAACCCCTACCTGTACATATTCTAACAGGATAAGTCTGGCATGGCTCTATGCCTTGATGCATCCCTCTCCCTCCCACCACCACCTRGACCTCAGCTGTCAGCACAGATGGATGCCTTCAGAATTTGACCATCAGAGTTCTGGGAGTCTCCATACTGAAATGTGCACCAAGGGGCTCTCTAGTTCCTGCTGTGAGACCACCCTCTGCACTGCTTTCTGGCAGTTTCCTCTCCATAGCCTCAGCAGACTGCCAGTTCATGCTCAAGTGAAGGCCACAGGAAGTCATGATCCAGGGCAACTTGTTGATGGGGCTTAGTTACAGGCTCATTCATGTCCTGCAAAGTTAAGATTCTGCATGGAGTTTTAAAAATCCTTCTGCTGCAAGAGAAAATCAAATATGTCTTTTTAACTTCCAGAGGATTTGAAGAGTTCTTTTTATTGGTGGAACTGATTACAATGAATTAAAGTCATAGTTGGTAGATTAAATGTTATAAGGTTAAGAAACATTCAATTTTCTAGTTCCAACATAAAAGGAGTAAATACATCTCATCAGGTCTACTATCTCAGTAGAACCTTATGGATTATGGAAGACTAAGAGAAAGGGAAAGTGGAATTTCTCCAGCAGGCTTGAACCCCAGCGGTTTGAAGGTGCCTGTATGTGGTTTTCCTAGCCGTACTGCTGGTGTTCATACTTTGGGACACTCTGTACTTGCCTCAGGCATGGTGATAACCCCTGYAGATGCTTGATCAGCATGACCTCTTTGTCATAGCACTTTCAGGTATGTTGAGTGCATGGTTTTTGGAGTTTGTCACTTTCTGAATTCTGTTGGAGATGTGAGCATATTGATTGTGTTCTTGAAGGAAGCAGATTCAGGACTTCTGAGCCTAGCACTGCACTGATTCAGACCACAGCCACTCTGGGTATTGCACCTCTCCCCATGCTCAGTGGAGGACCCAAGGATCCTGAGAATGAACTGGAAAAGGCCCTGCCCTCAAGAAACTCATGGCCAAGAAAGGAAGAGAAACACCATGCCCATGAAAAATATCACCAAAGAACTCTGTCCAGAGGCTACAAGGAGCCCAAGAGGGTAACACCTCCTCTTGGAGACTGGGGGTAATGAATACTAAGGCTGAACTTTGATGGATGAACAAGGGTTAGATGAAAGCAGAATTTGGAAGAGGCACTGACTGCAAAGAGCAACATGATTTTTTGGAGGAATATTTGAAGTAAAATATGTGGAGAAGAGCTGTGATAAAAAAAAATTAAGCTAAAAAGATAATCAGAGTAGATCCAGAGATTTTTTATACTAAATTTAGGAGGCTATCATCTAATTTTAGAACTTCAATAGTTATCAGAGAGTTTATCAATATTTTCATAGCTGTGTTTTTAACAATGTTTTTGGAGRGCAGGTACTGGGAATTGAACTCAGAGTTGCTTTACCACTGAGCTACATCCCCAGCCCTTTTTATTGTTTACTGTGCCACAGGGCCTCACCAAGTTGCAAAGGCTGGTCTCAAACTTGCCATCCTCCTGCCTCAGGTTCCCAAGAACCATTAAACAATTCTAAAATGTGTAATTTGGTGGCATTTAGTACATTCACAATGTTGTGCTACAGTTATCACTGTCTGTTTCAGAGCACTTCATCACCCCAAAAGGAGGCCTGATACTCATTAAGCAGTCACTCCTGGCCTCTCCTCCCCTCCTCTCTGGAAACCACTAAYCTGCCTTCTGTGTCTGTATATTTGCATTTTCTGGATATTTCATGCAAATAGTTAGAGTTGGAAGATAAATCTAGGCCTTAAAATTGTCTTAGACACAAGCTTCTATGAAAAAAATAAAATCTGTAGGAAAGACTCTCTGTTCTGGGAACTACAGAGAGAAACAATAGCTAGAAGGGGGATTTGGAGGCTTCTGGGGCTCTGTGGATCCCTCTCCTTTGCTGACCAGCTCCTCTTGCCTGTTAGCATTTGCAGACAGGTGGAGCTGCCTTGGTTTCTGGGTTGGATATTTTCAGAAAGGGTCAGGATCAGCCCAGGCCCTGCACTGGGTGGGGTATTCCTGTTCTTGCTGTAGAAGAGATGAGACAGGAGCTGTCATGTAACCAGGTGTGAGTTGGCATCTCAGCCTCCACCGTGGCTTTCCTGAATTTTCTCCTGGGAGCTGAAGCATCTGGAAGCTGGCAGTTACAGATCTGTAAAATACTTGGAAAGTCAGTGCTTGTACAGTTCCATGTGCATGTTCCAGAGAGGGGAAGKGCCAACTTCTATACCAATGTTAATTTCCTGGAAATGCTGGTTTAAAAAAAAATGTCAAGAAGCAAAGATGAAGTTCTGGGCCCTCAATCTGAGGCATGGTGACYGCTTTCCATATGTAAGTTCACAATGGGTATTGTTTGGGGACAGAGCTTTCTGTGTGGGAGCAAATGAGTGGCCAGCTTTGACTCCTTCCCATGTAGGCACCTCCCTGCCTACAGCATGGGAATTGTAGTTTTATTACAAGGAGAGCTGCAGGGATCAAAGCAGAGGTGTCAAATCCTCATGGCCTGATGGGTTCCAGGCATGCCAACCCCCACTCCCAGGCCCAAGTTCTGACTATGCTTAGGTCAAGCACATTGTTATCCTGGCATTCTCTCAGTCTAGCAACCAGTCCATCTGTCCTAGCTTCACAGGCATCTGTCCAACACTGTCTCCTTGGCTACTCTAGGTGGGCTGCTATCAGCTCCCATCCAAATGGGTCCCCTGCCTTCCACTCCCCATTGTTTTTTTCATACAGCAGCCAGACTGATGCTTCTGTAGCACAGGTTGATGAGGACACATGTACCCAGAGCCCTCCACCTCTTTCAGAATGAAGCTCTGTGTCCTCCATCTGACCATTCCCATCCTCCACTTATTCTAAGGTCAACTTCTGTTACCCTCAGGTCACTGCAGCCCACCACACTCTCTGACACTCCTCCAATGGGACAGGCATCCTCCTGCAGCTTCAGCTTTCTTCAGCTCCATTCAGATGTCTCACCACAGAGTAGCCTTTTGGTAACAGCCCCCCAAACCACCTGACTCTAACCCTCGCCCTCTGTGCTCTCTGGCAGCACTGGGGAACAGAGCCCATCTGTTCTCCTTGCTGCCTTTTCTAGAGTCCAGGGCAGTACCTGGCATGCATCAGAGATCAGTGCTATTTTGTGAGTGGAGATTGTTACTTTCCCAGATGTTGTCATAAGCAACTCTGACACTATTTTATTTTTTTTTCTCACAGAGCTTTTTGAAAACAACTAGAAAAGAAGCATTAAGTGCTATTAACAAAAGAACACAGGCTCTTTGTGGTTGGGAGACCAGTGCTGACAGGTACGTCCATGAACCATAGCTAAGTCAGGTTTTTCTGAACATTGCACATGGCATGGGACTTGCAAAGAACCAGTCTTATGTCAAAGTCAAAGCTGGCTTCACAAGCCAAGAGTGGATTAGAAAATGTACCCCTTAGCTCCAATGGAAAAAAAAGAATGGAACTTTGAACTAGTATGCAAAATTGGACCAAGTAGCATGATGAATTTAACCTTGAGTGTTGGGGGTTACACAAGGTGATTTCAGATAAGATTCCTCCTGTCACTGTAGGGAACTCTGGGAACTACACAGTGAGCCTTAGCTGGGTGCAAGTACTAGATTTCATGGGTGCAGAGCATGTGGACCTGAAAAGAGTAGAATTAGGTGAATCTCACAAGTGCTATGATTTGTGAAATAGCCAGTCATTTAAAAAGACAAATATTAGTTGCTTCTCTTTATGAGATGCTTAGAGAGGTCTAATTCATACAGACAGAAAGCAGAATGATGGTGTCAGGGGAAGGGCATTGGAAGGACAGTGGGTAAATAGGTGCCTGCTACAGCCCCAGTTTCAAAGTTGGGGCCGAGCAGTCTTCCCCAATGGTAGGTTCAAGAGCTGAAGCATTTCAGTTTATCTTAAAAAGTTGTTTAGGAATTAACCAAAGTGTAACTCTGTTCAATTAAAGAGAAATCTTCAACTAGAATTAGTGTTCCCTCTGGGCTGCCTTGGGAAATGTCTTTCTTGTCTCTGCCACCCATGTGTGACCTGAGAATGTGCAGTCAACCAGGGCAGCGGTGACATTCTCCCTGTGCTGAGCTTCTGGGCTCCATTTCCCGCCCACCATTTGGCTGGCACAGTCCTTCCTTGGCCTGCAGTGGTGGTTGGATGAGCTAAACTCTGGACAGTGTGCTTGGTTGGCCTTCCTTTCTGGAAACAGAAGGCYTCTTAGCTTTGAGCAGAGTGAGGGTGTCTGTGGGGTACCTGTTGTCTGCCTCCTGCTGTCTATGAGGACACTCCCCATGTCAGCCCCTTGCTCAGAGGCCATCACACTTACACAGACAGGCACACGTACCTTTTTCCTTCTTTCCTGGAGCTCAACTAAGACAGCAGGATTTTTCCTTTTTTAAAGAACCTTACTACATTAAGAACTAAAAAAAGTAAATATAAATATAGAAAGCAAGTTAGCAGGCTGATGAACAGATTAGAAAATATGTCACATTCCTAAGAAGGGCAAAACTAACTTGAGATATTCCTTCTGGAAAAGAGAAGGGTCAGGAGGACTGGCCATCAAAAGTTCCCGAGATCAGGTTTCAGATGAAGGAGAGAACAGCGCACGTGTTCTGCACCTTAAGCTCCAAAGTTCAAGGAAGGCCATGATGGAGAAGGGCATAGGGAGGCAGATGCTGAGAGTTCAGGAACCAGTGCTACCTTCTGATTTTAACCAATAATAACAGTTCACTCTCTTCACTGGGCAAGTCTGTTTCCCTGCAGAGCTCTGGCATGTTACAAACACTGATAGTAAACAGAGTTAAGGCCCCAGAGGCTGACTAATGTGGATGGTGGCTTGAGGCGCCAGCTAATCCCACCCACCCACCCAGGGCTCAAACCTGCCACCCTTAACCTCAAAACTCTAGGCCTGTGTCCCTTGCCTATGGCCATATACTTCAGTGCTTTTCAGTCAACCCAGGCCAACGTCCAGACCCCACAGGACAGACAGGGCATGTATAGAAAGTGATTTGCTCATTTCATTAAACTTCCAAAGCAGCGTTTTAGGTGGGCACAAATTTTTGTAAATGGCTCTAAATGTGCTCCCCTCTATCATGAGAACTTCTCCTGGAGCACCTGACCCAGCACTGTCTATTTTACTTTCTAAGCAGATCATATCTCTGTTGGTCCTTTGGGAAGGACTCCTGGAAATAGACCTCAGGTCACAGTGAGGGTCTTTCCAGCAGACTGGGATGATTAGAATCAGGTACCAAATGCATGACAGAAACAACACCAGATTTCCTTCTCATTCTGCCTTTTCTTTCATGATCAGAGCCCCTCACAAGCTTTCTGCCGTGATCAGGAACCTCCGGAACAGCTGTGGCCCCAGCTTCTGTTGTCAGCAGCTGCATGCCCCTAGGAAAGCAGATGGCACATTCTCTGGTCTGTGGGAGGTTGGTGTCTGATCCCTGCCACACTGAACTTTATCAGAAAGCTACTGGTGAGAGTCTGGGAAACTGTCCTTGAAGTTTGTCAGTGACCCCTTTTTTGCTTTTCTAAGTTCTTTGGACACTGCACAAGCAGTTTTAAGGTATGAATAAAATTTGTCACTGCAATAAGGGAAAATCTACAATTTTATTGTCTGAAAGAGTGTCATTTCTGAGCTATTGGCTTCAATTATAGAAGGTCATGTAAAATACCTGAATTCCTATCAGCTTAGCATGAATGGATAAGAAATGATCCTGAAATTCCTGATAAGACCTGCCTCCTATGTAGTGTGAGCCAGTCCCTGCTGGGTGCACTATCCTGTCATCTTTATTAAGCTGGCTTTTGACTATGGAGAATATCCAGTGCTGGGGCCAGGCCAGGCTATTGGAGAAGCCCTCCCTTCTCATTGAACTTTTAAGTTTCAGGGCACCTCTTCTGCAACAGTCCCCRGCAACTTGAAGACAGAGATTTACTGCTGTGACACGGGACTGCTGTGCTTTGCAGAGGATACAGCCAAGGCACCACTTTCTGTGACTGTCACCATGGGGACCCCCACCAAGGCAGCCGGGTCCCCACAGATCACCAGCGCTCAGCCAGCTCTTCTGAGATGGCTTTCCTGTCTCTCCACTATCCCTAGAAGGTAGGGTGAGGTTGGTGGAGGTGTGCACTTTCCCACCCACTGTCACTACCCAGGCAGTTGGTGACTTTAGCGTCTTTTTGAGTCACCATGCAGGGATGACAGGCCTGGCTACCCTTTGCCATCAGTGTCCCTTGTCCCATGGTTCCCTTTGTTTTTTCAGATCAGTCAGTTATCCAGACTGAATCTGATCATCTGAACTTGTTTCTAACGGGACACACRCAGCACTTGTGAGACAAGGGAAGTGCCAGGAACATGAAAATTGCCCGTTAAGATACTCAGGCCATTTCTCCTCTCTTCTCTGGGGGCTTTACATTTTGCCTGTGCTGCCAGCTATCTAATTGTACCAACACCATGGGCTTCACCTGTAACTGCTTTTAATCGTTAATCGAAGTCCTTTAATATTGAAAGCTGAAGGTTGAGTAGTCTAGACTGTTTCCAAACCCCAACTTACTTATAGCACCAGGGACTGCATGTGGGAATGTGAAAATGATGGCACTCGTGTACAGAACCATAGCAAGTTGTGACTTGTGGAAGACACCATCTTTTAATTCCACTCATTGAGTGAAGAGAGAAAATATTTATATTTTACTCTTATTTCTGCAGCTAGAACAGTAGTTCTCAGGTTTCTGCTGACCTCAGAGTCTCTTGGGAGCTTCCTGACCCAGCCTAGTCTGTGACTCAGTGGGTCTGGGGTGCCTGTCTCACAAGAGTCCAGTAATGCTGGTGCTGTTGGCCTAGAGTGCACTGTGAGGACCAGCTAATGAAGTCATTCCTTGGCTTGTCCACACCTTGCTTCCTACTTCCAAGAGGCTCATTCCTACCCTCCTTGGGGCATGTTCCTGTGACCCTATCAGACTGTTCTGAGATCTGAAGTCTCTGCCTCTCTTCCACAGCTCCCTGGGCCCTCTACCTGAAGATTCCTGCATCCCCAGCTTCCCCAAGTCCATGTCTGTTCCAGAGATGCCCTGTCCCCTCACACAGTGTCCTCCAGGGACCATCCCAGCGAGAGGACTGGACAATGCCATGACCTCTGCCATCTGTTGCTTACTTGAAAGGGATGCTCAGGCACCTCCAACTCTGGGATTTCGAGTCCACATGGCTTCTGGAATGGCTGTTTGTCTGCTGATGGAATTTGGTGATGGTTCTGGAGTTGAAATGAGCCTCTATAACATGTCCACAACAACAGAGGTGACTGCCTACCACCAGTACAGGAAAGGTATGTTACCAGTGTCCTCCAGAGTCTGGGGATATAGACGCAGTGTTGGCATATTAGCCAGAAATGAAGCCCTACTCTATTCTTCTGGACCCCTCCCAGCAGGTCTGGTGGTAGCCTGTGCATGAGTCAGTCTGTGCCCTGCGTGCAAGGCTTTGCAAGCATCATCTCATTTAATTTTTCCATCAGCCCTCTGGGATAGGTGGGTGGGTTGAAGACTAGCCCTGGAGATTGCACAGCTAAAATARTAGGGCTTCCTACATAAGGCAAAATTCTAGAAAGGTACTACTAATGAAAATCACTTAAATTGTCCTTCATGGACAGATATATAATATCACAATTTTTCATGCTTAAATTTTCAACATCCTTTGTTTTGATCAAAGTAAGGAAAAAATAAAAACTTTATACGAACATTCTAAAGTTGGACTTATTCTAAAGCTCTAGAGTGAATGGGAATCGGGGTGAGTGGAGAATTCTGACACTTTTCTTCCTTTCTGGTAGGACTTAATATTTTCCTTTTTTAAAATTAGTTTTTGAACATGGTCCATTTTCATGGTGCAAGCCCATGCATTCTAGAAAGATGTACAGTGAAAGAACCTCTTCCCATTWACCCACTGTTTGCTATTTCTTGTATCTTATGTACATTTAAGCAAGCATAAATATTATTTTCCCTCTTTTCCACAACTGGCAGTATACTATACGTGGTGTCTGGCTCTTTGCCCTCTTAAATGCAAACTTACATCTTGGAAAAACTTCAGGGTCTGCACAGAAAGAGAATCCCTGTCTTACTTTGTAACTGACTAGTAGGGCATTAATTTAATTTAGTTATTGCTAAATTGCTCTTAGGGTTGCCTGGTCTATACTCCTGTGAGCAGTATAGACATAAATACAATAGGTGGAAGCATTCTGTTTATGACATTTTAATTTGCATGTTACTAGGTACATCCACATTAAAGTGCCAATATTTGACCATATTTACCCAAGAAAAGAACTTTCATGGTTCTACTTAATGTGGTACTTTGTATGAATTCTTTTCATCACTGAGAAAATTAGTCCTTTCAGTATGATATAAGTTGCAAATATTTCTCAGTTTGTTGTATGTGTTTTGGCTTTGCTTATAGGTTTTTTCTGTTCATGTGGAATATTTAATTTTTATCAAATTTCATCAACTTCTTCTTTTCTAGTGTCTGAATTCTATGTCATAGTTAGAAATGCTTTCCATACTATGTGAAACTGTCTTTCCTGGTTTGTGAAACTATCTTCTCTTGGTTTCTTCTAGTATTTTTTTATAATCTTATTTTGCACATTTAAATATTTAATACATTTGGATGTATATTTGTACATGAAATCTGAGGCATAGATTGCATTTTCTTGATTCCTTAGTGTCCTCTGTTTGCCAATGATCCCTCTCCTGCACGATCCAGAATGCTCCCTTCATTACATATTAGCTTCCTGCAGCTCTCAGGCCACTTTCATGCTTTCTGTCTAGTCCAGCTGACCCATCTGTATGCTGCATCATTGCCATGAAGCTTTGTATCTCACAGTCATAGGGCTAGTTCCCCTGGTCACCCTTTTCTCTAGGACCAGTTTGACCATTTTTACTGGTGATTTTTCCAAATGAACTTTAGACTCACACTGACTGGTATAAACATATCTTATTAATTCTATTAGCAAAATATTTAATTTATAAGTTAATATATGAAGAATCTTTGTATTTGAGAGTCTCTCTTTGTTAGAATACATCCTGCACCTTTCAATCCTTCCTTATATCTTTAGAAGCATTCAAAAAAATTCTTCATGTGGAACTTATTTACTTCTTGTATGACATTTTATTTTTGTGCTGTTAAAAGTGATCTATTTTCCTCCATTTTATCTTCAAACAAGTCATCATTGGGATATAGAAAAGTTGCTCATATTTGCTTTCATTTTGTGGCTTTTCCATCTTACTGAATTCTCATATGGTTTGTAGTTATCCTAAAATATATTCTTTGTTATTTTTTCCAACTGCATGAGGATATCACTTACAAATGGTGATATTTCAACCTCTCATTTCCATTGCAACACTCTAGTTCCTTTCTCTTGTTTAATTACATTGGCTGGCACTGAGGCATAGATTGCATTTTGGCTCATTAAATTAACGCCCTACTAGTCAGTCACAAAGTAAAATAGGGGTGTTTTTTCTGTGTACACCCTGGAGTTTCTCCAAGATGTCAGTTTGCATTTAAGTGGGCAAAGAGTCAGATACCATGTATTAGACATATATTCATCCAAATATATATCCAAATGTATTAAATATTTAAATGAGATTAATAAATGATGGTGGGCATGTTCCTCTCCATATCCTTCTACTGTTTTCCATTAAATTGGAAACTGGACTACAGCAGATATAATTTATTATAACAAGTAAATGTTTTAGTTATCGTTTTTGCTGCTGTGACTAAAAGACCTAACAAGAACAACTTTAGAAGAGGAAAATTTATTGGGGGACTCACAGTTTCAGAAGTCTCAATCTATAGGCTATCTCCACTCCTTGGGGCTCGAGGTGAGGCAAGACATCATGGCAGAGAGTATGGTAGGGGAAGTGGCTCACATGGTGATCAGAAAGCCTAGAGAGACTCTGCTCGCCAGATGCAAAATACATACCCCAAAGGCACACCCCCAATGACCCACCTCCTCCAGTCACACTGTACCCGTCTTCACCCCCCACCCAGTTAATCCCATTGGGTATTAATTCACTGATTAGGTTAAGGCTGTCATAACCCAATCATTTCTCCTCTAAACCTTCTTGCATTGTCTCACAAATAAGCTTTTGTGGGTCACCTAACATCCAAACCACAATAGTAAGTTTCATCTTTTCCTCTTTTATTAGGGGCTTTTTTTAAAAAAGTGAGAGTTTTGAATTTTCTTAAATACTCAGCATTTGTGGAATGATCTTAAATTTTTTTTTTCTTTTTTGCTTAAGACAATGCATATCATGAGTTTTATTACTGATATCTTAATATTGAATCATTCTTAAATTTCTAGGGGGAGGGCAACCTTTTTTGAATGTGCTGCTGAATTCAGTTTCTTAACATTGTCTTCATGGTCCACTGGTACTCATGAATAGGATTGGTCTTTAGTCACTGATTATTTTAAATATAGAATATAGAATATAGAAGTGTAGAATATATTTGTATATCAAAATATGAAATATAGAATAATATATATGATATATGTATAATATAGAACATTTCATACATCAACAACTAGATTCACTTTCCTCTCAGTGACACATGGAGCATTTTATATAGATCATAGTTTAGGTCCCAAAGCAAATCTCTACAAACACAAAAATTGAGATAATACCCTGCATACTATCAGATCACAATAGCATGAAACCAGAAATTGGCAACAAGATAAAAAACAGAAACCATTACCACACTTGAAGACCAAATAATATAATTTTTTAAGAGAGAGAGAGAGAAAGAGAATTTTTTAATATTTATTTTTTAGTTTTCCCCAGACACAACATCTTTGTTTATATGTGGTGCTGAGGATTGAACCAGGGCCACACGCATGCCAGGCGAGCGCGCTACAGCTTGAGCCACATCCCCACCCCCAAATAATATAATTTTTTAAAAAAATTTATTTATTTGTTCTAATTAGGTATATATGATAGCAGAATCTTTTTGTGTACAAATGGAGTGCAATTTTTCATTTCTCTGGTTGAACATGATGTAGGGTTGCACCACATGTGCAGCCATACATGTACCTAGTATAATGATGTCTGTCTCATTCCATCATCTTTCTTGCCCCCATGGTCCCTCCCTTCCAATCAAAGTTCCTGCATTCTTCCCATGCCTCCACCCCCCATTATAGATCAGCATCCACTTATCAGAGAAAACATTCAGTCTTTGTTTTTTTGGGATTGGCTTACTTCGCTCAGCATGATATTTTCCAACTCCATCCATTTACCTGCAAATGCCATAATTTTATTCTCTTTTAATATCTCTTTCAGTAATATTCCATTGGGTATATATACCACAGTTTCTTTATCCATCTATTGAAGGGCATCTAGGTTGCTTTCACAATTTAGCTATTGTGAATTGAGTTGCTATAAACATTGATGTGGCTGTGTCACTAGAGTATGCTGATTTCAAATCCTTTGGGTAAAGACCAAGGTGTGGGATAGCTGGATCAAATGGTGGTTCCATTCCATACTGCTTTCCAGAGTGGTTGCACTAATTTACAGTGCAATCAGCAATGTATGAGTTGTACCTTTTCCCCCACATCCTCACCAACATTTATTATTGCCTGTATTCTTGATAATTGCCATTCTGACTGGAGTGAGATGAAATCATAGAGTAGTTTTGATTGCATTTCTCTAATTACTAGAGAAGTGAACATTTTTTCATGTATTTGTTGATCGAATGTATATCTTCTTCTGAGAAGTGACTGCTCAGTTCCTTAGCCCATTTATTGATTGTATTATTTAATTTTTTGGTGTTAAGTTTTTTRAGTTCTTTATATATCCTGGAAATTAGTGCTCTACATGATGTGCATATAGTAAAGATGTTCTCCCACTTTGTGGGCTCTCTCTTTACATTATTGTTTCCTTTGCTGAGAAGAAGCTTTTTAGATTGAATCCATCCTATTTATTAATTAATTTATTAATTCTTGATTTTATTTCTGTGCTTTAGGAATCTGGTTAGGGAAGTCAGGACCTAATCCAACATAATGAAGATTTGGGCCCACTTTTTCTTTTATTAGGCACAGGGTCTCTGGTCTAATTCCAAGTTCCTTGATCCACTTTGAGTTGAGTTTTGTGCCTGGTCTAATTCCAAGGTCCTTGATCCACTTTGAGTTGAGTTTTGTGCATGGTGAGAGATAGTGATTTAATTTCATTTTGCTGTGTATGGATTTCCAGTTCTCCTAGCACCATGTTTTCACCAATATATGTTACCAGTGCCTTTGTCTAGTATGAGRTAACTATATTTATGTGGTATTGTCTCTGTGCCCTCTATTCTGTGCCATTGGTCTACATGCTGTTTTGGTGCCAATACCTTGCTATTTTTGTTATTATGGCTCTGTAGTATAGTTTAAGGTCTGGTATTGTGATGCCTCCTGATTTACTCTTCTTGCTAAGGATTGCTGTGGCTATTCTAGATTTCTTATTTTTCCAAATAAATTTCATGATTGCTTTTTCTATTTCTATGAGGAGTGTTGTTGGGATTTTAAGTGAAATTGTGTAACACTTTTGGTGGTATGGCCATTTTGACAATATTAATTCTTTCTATCCAAGAACAAGTCACTGATTTTTTTTTAAATAGTTTTGGACTTTGGTATTAATGTTATACAGGGGTTTTCTTTTCTTTTCTTTGTCCCAAAACCATTTAAATAGCATTAAAATAATTATTGTCTTTTGAAGAATTTCCTTATCAGCCCTCTGAGACTGGTTGTTTTCTTCATTGTCTTGGTATGGCTCTACACCTTCCTCTATTTCATTTGTTGAGATTTTCCTATTTCTCTGGTAGTTAGTTCTTCTAAGTTATTTGTTCTTAGAAAAGTAACTCTTTAATCAAGGTTTTCTAATTTATTGGCCTAGAGGTCAATAAAGTTAGCTCATTGTTTTCATTAGTATCTATAGTTATTTCCTTCCATCATTTTTATTTGTGAGCTTTGTTCTTTCTCCTATTTTTCTTAATCAAGTTGACTACATTTTTATTAGTCTATGTAGAAAACTAGCTTTGGAATTTTGTTTATTCTATATTTCCCTAATTTATTAGTTTCTGCTTTGAAATTAGGGTTTTTTTTTCCTTTCTTCCTGCTTTTTGTTTTCCATTTTGAGTTGGATGCTTAAATTTAACATTCCTACATCTTGTTTGGCTTTTTATTGTTGTGGTTCTGGTTCTGCTATTAATTTCCACTCCTATCCAGCATGATAAGCAAATATTTTTCTCTACTATTTTGATTTTATTAAAAATTCTGTGATATTTGTGATTTAAAATACAGTCAGTGTTAAAAATGAAAATTCATGATTGTCCAGCAGCTTCTGGTGAGTCACAACCCCCTTATCCAGTTCCCTACTGTTCAGCCAAGGTGTGTGGGCTGAACAACATTAAGTAAGATGGGGCCAGAGGATCAGCAATGGTGGGATGTAACTCTCCTATGTGCTTAGCACCCTGTCTTAAGTAGGATGACCAAGCCCTCTCCTTACCCTTTYTCCTCACCCCTTATTTATTTATTACTGGGGATTGAACCCAGAGGCATTTTACCACTGAACTACATTCCCAGCCCTTTTTAAACTGAGACAATAAATAACTGAGGCTGGCCCCAAACTTACAATCCTTCTGCCTTAGCCTCCTGAGTTGATRGAATTACAGGTGTGCACTACAATGCCTGGGTTTCTCCCTTTTTTAAATCTTTGTGTGTGTGTGCATTGTAGAGGGATACTCTTCCTTTTACTGTGCATTCTAATTCCTTGAATAAACCCAGGTGGYCTAGGAATCTTACTTTTTTGTGTCACATATGGGCAGGCTCTGGCTACATGGATCAATTCCCATCTCACTACACAGCCTACCATAATTCTGGACATCCTTGTAGTCACTGTCATAATGTTTCTCTTGGAAGCCAGCTTTGTTGTGTGAGCCCTTCTGGTAATGCTAAATTTTCATAGATGAGATGAGTGCATTTGTCTTTACTGACATAACAGGTGTTCAGCCTTAGATCTGTCATATTTTACATTATGGGCTCTGCGAATTTTAAAATATGCTTCATTAAATGACTTCCCCTGCCCCTTTTGCATGTTTGTCCAAGTTAGTGTTCTGTTATATGGAAGGCTTGTGGCCTTGTCTTAGTTGATCTCTTTTATTTATAAAGAGGTTTTTATAAAGTGTCCTTTTTTTAAAAAAAATATTTATTCTTAAGTTTTAGGTGGACACAATATCTTTATTTTACATTTATGTGGTGCTGAGGATCAAACCCAGTACCTCGTGCATGCTAGGCAAGCGCTCTACCACTGAGCCACAACCCCAGCCCCTATAAAGTGCCCTTTTTACTCTACTTCTTTAGAGCACCCATTCATTATCCACTATGAGCAATAACAAAATTTAGTATAGTCTGCTTTCTCTCTCCACATCACCAATTTTCATCAATTAAATGATCTTCATGAGTATTTTTATTTTTGCTCTTATATATGCTTACATACTTCTTAATTGTTTGGTTACGTTTTCATGCTTTTATTTTATTTTTATTTTTTATATCTTTATTTAATTTATTTATTTATATGTGGTACTGAGGATCGAACCCAGGACCTCACTCATGCTAGGCAAGTGCTCTACTGCTGAGCCACAACTCCAGTCCCTCATGCTTTTAAATTTCTAGCAATTACTTACAAGCAAGCTGTGTTATTTTACAACTCCACCTTCTCTTTCCTCCCAACTGTGTCTTGCTGTATCATTTCCCACTGTCAAGGTATACATTTATATGTTTTTCTGTCACCTGTTCTTCCACCTRTAGTTTAATCCTAGATCCAGAGTTAGATACATTTTCTCACTCTTAGTCCTGCCATGCTGTTCTCACCTGACTCACTGATATTTGTCCCCAGTAGACCCTTTAATGTTTCAGGAAAAATTTCTTCAATTATATCTCTATTTTTCTGTTCCAATATTTAAGCTTTCTTTTTGGAAGATTCTGGTCATACATATGTTGGGTCTATTTTGTCTTTTTCTAATTTTTTTTTGTTCTTTATTTTTAATTCATCTCTCCTGCCTTTATCATTATTTCCTTTATGTTTCTTCTTTTGCATTTGCAGTTTCTATTCTCTGTTATGCTCTTTGAAATGCTGCCTTCATTTTTTGCACTTCCTGTCTGTCTTATATCATAGAAGCTAATGATTTCCCAAGTAGTTATATCCTTTTATCTTCTTGTGAACAATGGCTTTCTGGCAAATGATCTTACTCTGTTATGAGAATCTCTTGAATTTGTCCTCTTAACTCTTGTAGTATCTTCTGAATGGTCTTTCCTTCTTCCTTCCTTACTTTTGTCCCTTTCCCTTTTCTCTTCATCAGTATTACTCATAATTAAAAGAGTTGCTGTTTTCTAAAATGGCTGTCTGAAAGTGCTATGCATGTGCGCTATATGTGTTCATGACATTCACAGTCACTGAGTCCTTTTGCCTCTGGGTTCTCACTTCAGGATACTTTCCCTGTGCTTCCCCCAGCATGGTTCTTGCTCATTCATGCTTAATTTTTGCTTAATTTTAGCAACTCTTGCATCTATTTTATATCTCAAACATATTAGCTAACTTCTGTTTCTCAAAAAAAAAGTTTTCATTTTTCATTGCTGTTTTCCTTATCACCTTTGGATAATGCCTAGAAGAGTTGATTGGAAGCTGGCTGTAGTTATATTCAAATCAGCAATTGCTCTATTAATGTTAAATATCTACAACTTTAATACATATGCATTGATTTTTTTGTTGTGGTTGCTTTAAAACTAAAATGAGAAGTTGATTTTTTTATCTCCTACTAGAGGTCAAGTCTAAAGCCAACTTTTAGGTAAAGGATACCTAAGATCTGACTACATAATATTTTAGCACCAAACAAGCCTGTGGAGGGGTCTCCTAACTACTAGACAAATTGCCTTTCTGACCTGGTAGACATGAAATTCTTCTTTTAAAATGAAGCAGGAACAATATATTGGTTCACACAAAGCACAGCTCTTAATTAAATGAGATGATTAGCACAAATGTACTTTAAATGTAATGATCAGCACAAATGTCCCTTTCACTTTCTATTTATTAAAATCCACATGCAGATTTTCTTTTTGACACAGATGTGAGAGGAAGTGTTATAAGATATGTGGGGTAAAACTATCAATGATGTTTCAGCATTTAATATGTAGCTTCCAAGTGAGATTACAATTTGGAAAAGTGTACCTATTCTTGCACATGTAATGTGACCAGATGCCTTCCCTCTGGCCTTCACTCAGTACAGTATCCCCCAGGCCCTGGTACTCCACAACCACATTCATTACTCTTCCCCATAGATGTTTAATTCCTTAAAGTACTTCCCTCCTTTTTACATATTCTGCTGTTATTTGCAACCTTCTGGGAAAGTGAAGAGAGGAAAGACCATCTGAATTCCTAAGAAATAATTGCATACTCTGTGCCTAGAAAAAATGATTTAACATTTGGGCTTCCCATCCTGAAAAACTTGACTGGTCATTTCATAAGCATTTATTGTGTATCTATTGATTGATTACTTTCCTGACTAGATAGTTAAGTCTGAAAGTGAAGCATAACCCAAATTCTGCAGACAAATGACAGATGTAGCCACCATTCTTCCTGGGTCATTAAAAGAGGGTCATAGTAGGGGTAAGTTGGCCAGATAAAGGCATAAAGAAGGAATCTGTGGCCGAGAGAAGATCATGCACAAGGCCGAATTTCAACAGATATCAGCAGAGCACTAAACCACACACAGAGCCAAGTTGAGTGTGGGGCTCTGTGAACTGTGTGAGTGCATGCTTAAATGGATATGCTGCTGCTGCAAGATTTCCCAGACTAGTCCCCCCATTGTGACCAGTCTGCAGATGTTAACTATTATGCTTATCTTTAAAAGTTCACCAAGTTCTTCCTCTGTCTTCTTTTTCCAGAAGGAGTCTATATGCTCAGGACTGTTATTTAYGAGTTTCATGGAACCAAAGTGGAGCTTGGACCTTATTATGTGGAAATAGGTTGTGAGGCTGTGTCTGTGTTCATGAATTCCAGCAGTGTCCACCAGGGTGAAGTCCTTGTTTTTGCTGGCTCCCGCCTGAAGCAGAAAAGTAAGACCCATGTCTGGAGGCTGAGCAACCAGACCTCAGCTCTAAATACAGAATGACTCTCTGAGTTATTTACCATCCAAGTTTTAACAGTACAACATTTGACATCACTTTCATGTTGTAATCTTCCCTTATTCAGAACATAGTTATTACAGAACATTGTGTGCTGGGGGACTATGACAATGAAATCTCACAAGGTCTTGGACTCAAGGAATTTATAATCTAGAAAAGATATTAAGACAAATACATGAAAATAAGGAGATGGAACAGAAAAGTTTCTTAAGAATGGCTATGAACGTTCAGAAGAGGAGGATTATGTGTAACTGTGGGAACTGGGACTGCCTGAGGTATTGTTGTCACATATGATGAGCCATGAAGGACAGGTGTGCGGGGACATTCCAGGAAGATGGTGCAGCCATAGCCACTGCCCAGGCTGAGGAGCAATGCTGAGTCCTCACAGTATATCAGGAGCTTTCTAATTTCCTTCCTGTCTACTTACATTCTCCTCACACCCAGCTGTAACGTAGATGATCTGTCCCTTTATGTCAATGTTATAAAGGAGGAACCCCAAGGTCAGAGGAGGAACCCCAAGCTGGTAGGAGGACTCCAGCCATGTGTTATAGAGGGAAGAGTCCAGAGTGGTCCAAGTAGATGGAATTATGGAATTATAGCATTTCCCAGAAATAATAAAAGGAGAACCCAGAGGGGCATGCATCTCAGTGAACTTATTCATGACAAATTCTTATAATTTGTCCTGCACTTTTTCCATACAGGTAGCCTAGTGAGAAACTCTCCATCCAAGAGTTGTAGAAAATATAGAGAATAATTGTTTTTAACCTATTAGCACACTCTAACCAGCCATGATCGTTCATTTGACTTGTCTCACCTAAACTCTGAATAAATAAGTAGCCTGTCAGGATCTAGAATTGGGAGATCTGAGTTTTAATCCAGCCCAACTGATCAATGACTGGATAATCTTTGCTAAATCCATTAATTGTACTTTCCTTACTTTTGGACTGACAGATTGTGGTCAGGATTAATTTTTAGTTGTTGTTAATTAGAATATCACTGTTATTTACGGTTTTTTTTTTTTTAAATTCTAGTGTATTAATGAAGAACGAAAAATAGAAGTTTTCTCTTTATAAACTAAAAAGCCATGCAAAGTAACAGCAACATAATGTATAACATCATATAATATCCCTTTATTATAATGAGTTGTTTCAAATCATAGCCCTCTTCTGAATCTGATTCAGTGTTTGGTATCTGCCTCTTAATACATACACTATGTGTGTGTGATGCATGTGTGTGTGCATGTGCAAAATATGCATTGCATTTTAGAGGACTAGAATGCATGAGACTTGTCTTTGGATCTCCATTTATCCTTGTGATGTGAAGGCTTTTCAGAGTATACACTGGAGAAACACTTTTAAAACAAGATCATCTAGCAAAGCAATGAATATATTTTAAAAGAATTAACTTACTCACTACCATGAAGGGAGTTCTCTGGAGAGAGAGAAAACATTTACGGAAAATTTTAATGAAAGAAATTCTGTGACATGGTTTATATTTTCCAAACCTGTTTGATTCCAGAGCACTTGCTTCAAATTTTGAAATGCATTGGAACTCAAAGAGGGAAAACTGAAAATGGATAATATTGATGTGTGTTGCATGAGAAAACTGAACTAATTTTAAKCCTGTTTTTCTTTCACTATGCTTTTTCTTGTTTCAGGCACTGTTGTGATACATCATATCCCATCCACCTCTTCATATAAAGTGTCCTTTGTTTCTCAAACCCTAGTGGGTGACTGTCAGACTTGGACCAGCATGACTGTTTGGTACAAGATGCAACGTATGTTTTCACTTTAATTCCAGATTTAACAAAATCTCCCTCGTGTCAGTTGGGGTTTTTGGAGCCACTGGCAGCACAGGCTCTGGTATCAGCTCTACCTGAGGCCCATCACCTTTGCCCTTAAGCAGGTTCTTGGTTCCCCTGCAGTTTGTTCTAGAAATTTTCTAGAAACCATGGCACAAGGGTCCCATTGAAAGGTATAAAAAGGTGGGCTATCATCACTCACAGCTCTCATCCCATACCCTGGAGTCAGCCATCTTGCCTGGTGAGCTATTACCAGGCTTTCAAATTCAGTTTCCTACCAGAAAAGTTCCTACCAGGCCCCTGCAGCTGTACCCTTGGTGTAGCCCTGCACTCACATTAGCTCACTGCCCTCACACAGTCTTTGACTTTAAGTGGGAAAGTAGAGACGATGACTCTCTGGATGGATTCCAGTCCTCCATGTTGATGTCTCTGCACCTCTCCTTCTTTGCCATAGCTGTCTCTGTTTACACAAACGGAACAGTGTTTGCTACAGATGCAGACATCACCTTCATGGCTGTTACCAAGGAAACCATACCCCTAGAGTTTGCATGGTATTTTGGAGATGATCCACCAGTGAGGACAACTTCAAGAAGCATTCGGAGAAAGCTCCACATCCCCCAGTGGTTCGTAAACATGGTGGTCATGATGGGTGTGGCTGATGGTGATGCAGCTGGTACTCGGGTGGAACATTATCCTGGTGCTACCAAAATAATTTTAAGGGTGTCATGTTTGTGTTTTAACAAGCCAATGAGTGCTTTTGTAAATTGAGCTCAAGCATAAGATTTAAAAGGAGAGAGACTCGCTTTCCTTCAATGGGCACTATGAAAGAGTGCTGGGCTTTGAAATCAAGCAATCCCAAGTTCAAGTTCCATCTCAGCCACCAGTGTGACCTAAGACTGTGCTCACCCCGCCCCCCCCCCCGCTTGAAGAAACTAACTAATAAGAAGGGGAGGCCAAAAATATTACTCCCCTTTTCCCATAAGGCAGATATCACTGGGTACTCTGATAACTATACAAATTAAGTCCCCAATCCTTCTGCCTTTATTTTTTTATTATTATTATTTTTTATTTTTTGGTATCAGGGATTTAACCCAGGGATGCTTTACTACTGAGCTACATCCCCAGCCCTTTCTATTTTGTTAAAATTTTGAGACAGGGTCCCACTAAATTGCTGAGGCTAACCTCGAACTTGCAATCCTCCTGCCTTGGCCTCCCAAGTCATTAGTATTATAGGCACGTGCCACCTCACCCAGCTCCCCCTGCCTTTCTGTTGAAATGACATAATTTCTCTCCTGCCCTACTCTCCCATCCCATAGGTACCATGTGAAGGTCAAGGCCTCCARCAGGATTAGCAGTGTAGTCTCCAAGCCCCACATCATCAGGGTGCAGAAGAGAATTGTAGCCAACCGGCTCATGTCTACCACCTCAGCCCTAGTAAACACCAGCGTGGCCTTTGAGTGCAGAATCAACTTTGGCACGGATGTTGCCTTCCTGTGGAATTTTGGGGATGGCACTATCAGCATGGGGAGTGGCTCCAATAGTCACATCTATAGCAGGTAAATCATGTGGGGGCAGGTGGCAGCTTGCTGCAGATAGCAACTGGACTCAGGGTTTCAGGGATCAGCTCTAAGGTTCCTCCCAGCTCTCCTGGCTTTCAGGTGATGTAGAGACAAATGCGATCTGGCTATGACTCTGCATAAGCTTGAAATCCAGGAAAAAGATGGAGAGAAAGAGCTGTCTTCAGAGTGGGGGTGGGGGTGGGGGTGGAGTTCCTGTTCCAAAAGAGGTACAAGGTGTGGTGGTGACAACTCATTTTGCTTCAGAAACCAGGGAACCACACATATGAGCATTTACACATGAGCCCAAGGGGGAATCCTGAGCAGGAGCTTGCCAGAGGGAAAGTGGGGAGGGGGAGTGCTTTCCAACAGACAGCAGCACAGGTGAGACCCAAGGAGAGGGCACCAGTGGGAGAGGTCTGAATGTAAGAGCAAATGGGGAGGTGGCAGATAAAAGTTTAAGGTGTCTGGGACAGATTGTAGAAGGCCTTCAGTGTCGCTCAGAGGAGCATGCATTCTGTCCTTTAGTTTAGTCTTTACTGAATACCTACTGTTTATCTGCAACAAAGCATTATGGAGATAGTCATGAGTCACTTAATGATGAGGATATACTCTGAGAAACATGTTTCTATCTGATTTTGTCATTGTGCAAACCTTACAGACCATGTTTGCACAAACCTAGATATATAAGTCAGGCACTTGCTGTCAAGAAACGAAATAAATGAGATGTACAGGACCAGTGCTGGGGAAGACAGCTTAGTGTTCACAGAGTACTTTTCTAAGTAGAAGGAGTGCACTCTGAAATAATAATGAAAGTATTATATACTGATTACATAAACCAATAACATAGTCATTTGCTATCTTTATTAAGTGTTCTAGGCCATGTAATTCCTTCTGCTATACTTTTATATAAAAGCAGCACAGTAGTTGTGTTTTCACCAGCATCACTACAGACATGTGAGTGATATGCTGCACTACTGCATTGTGACAGCTATGACATCATGAGGAGATAGGAATTCTTTCTGCCCATTATAATCTTGTGGGACCACTCCTGTGTATGTGGTCACTATACAGTGCATGACCAGATGAAAAAGTGGCACCAATGCTTCCATCCAAAATAAATGTAGCGTTTCTTAGAGAAGATGGACAAGGCCATGGGAACCAAAGATACAAACCACAGGATTGCACATCTCAAGATTAGGAGTGTAATCAAGTGGTTCCCAGCCGAGTCTCTGGCTAGTGTGAGTTCTGAGTTGAGACCTCCCAGTGAGCATCCAGCCATGAAACAAGTATGGCCAAGGTTGAACATGGAGGCTTCATGCTGGTGCAGGGGCATATTGGAATATGCACAAGCATCCAGAAATCAAGCCTTGTGTAAGCAGTAGCACCAGAGAAATGTTGCAAAATTCCTCTAATGCAAGGTTACTACGAGAACACAAGCCACCTCTGCTGCTTTGATGGGCCTCCTGAATAGTCTATTGCTTCACCACTGGAAAAAGATTCTCATGTGTGGAAGGAAGGAATTGAGCAAGAGTATCTGGTGGACAGGTGCATACTGAGGCAGGTATCTAGGGCCTACACCCCTAGCAGCGTGCTCTTCTGCTCCAGGACATGCCCTCTGGAAGGTGGTGTTTGGTGCCATCTCTAGTGTTTTCCCTGGGCTTACCAACAATCTGAGACCAATCTGCAGCCTTATTGCCTCAGTAGGACTTGCCTTTCTTTTGAATCTCCAGGGTAGTAAGTGACATTCTGGTCCCTGGAAACTCAAATTTGTGATCTTATGATGGGACTATTTTTCTGTTTCCAATTCAAAAGTTTTGAATGATAATCCCTTTTGCATCATTCCCAAATCAACATACTTTTCCTTAGTGAAACGCAACCTGCTGGGTCCAGTGTTGCCTGTTCACATACTCCTCCTGTGCCGCATCCTTCATAGCTGAGACCCTCCAGCCTCTCCTGGAACTGGATTCTGGTCCATGTTGAGGACCTATTCTGTTTTCAGGACTCTAGGAGTTTGTTCAGGAAACCTGATCCCTGAAATAGACTAAAACAGAAAGACCCTGCTGATTAGGTCAGTTGCACTCGTCACACAAGGAATAACCTTGTGTGTCTCTCTGGTCAACAGAAAAGGCTGCTTGGAGCAGCAGGTCCTCACCTGGCTGTGCTGTTTTGTTTGGAATGTGTGACAGCAGTTTGGGGTTGGGCACTAGGCTTGACCACTAGGTGGACAGCTGATCCATCACATTAGATAATGAATAACCTCTGTGAATTATCAACTTGTGTCTCTTCTGTCCCTACTCCTTGGGATGACTTGCCATCAAATACTGTAACTATGAAGATCTAGGATGGTTGTGAACAGTGAATGAGCTTAATGTATGGCAACTTTGATCTTCTTTATTTACTTTCTGCCCTTCCAGGGAAGGAGAATTTATAGTGGAGGTTCTTGTCTTCAACAATGTCAGCTCTGCCACCCTAAGAAAGCAGCTTTTCATTGTGCGTGAACCCTGCCAGCCACCCCCAGTGAAGAACATGGGACCTGGGCGGGTCCAGGTAGGACCAGGGTCTGAGGAGTCCTTCCCAGCTGTGCTGTCACACTCCCAGCACCGCTCCACACTGTTGGAGCGGTGTCAGGATCAGCCAGCCCTTTGCAGAATGAAGGAGGCTTTGTGGAGTCTAGACTGCTACATTTTACACAAAAGAACCCCTGTCAGGACTTGGAGAGGGTGGGCCAGTCCTACGGGGGACAAGGCCCACCCCTAGCCTGACGGGAAGGGAAAGCCTGATTTCTGGTATGTGAATAAGTCCTTTATTTGCCTATATGATACTGGCATTCATCACAGCTTGCTTTGAGGAGCTTTTTTTTTTTTTTTCTTTTTCTTTCTTTCTTTTGTTGATTATGCAGAGAACTGTAGCATTTTCAGGAGAAAGGAAAATTTAACACCAAAATGAAAAAAAAAATGATCAATTGTTGAGCACCACCTAAAGGTTAGGAAAAATAGTGGGATTTTTTCCTTTTTTTTTTTTTTTAATTTCTTGCATTCCTTTGAGGTCTTTGATTTAAAGCAGATTTTACATCTTGGGGCAAAGGTGCTCAGATGACACGTGGGAATTAAAATCCATGACTGAGCATTTGCCAAAAACGTTTTCTGTGACAAGCAGAAAGGCCTGTCGCAGCTTAGGCCTCAGCATTCCCAGAGGGTGCAGTAGAGTCAGCAGCACTTGCCATTGCCTGGGGCAGGCCTGAGTCTGCTCAGGAAATCCAGAGCTTTCCAGGCTAGACCCCTGCCCACCCTCCAGGCCAGCACACACCAACGCTGTCAGGCAGCTTTATGTACTGGGTGCTCATATTATCTGGGGTGGGAGACAGACCAAAAGTCCAGGGGTCTTGAGTAAATTAATATAATTCATAGTAGAAGCAACAAAAAATAACTGAGAAGTAATTTAAATAATAACTAAATAACGCCTAGGCAGAGCACAAGTCCCAGGCCAGAGGCTCTGGAGTGAAC